AGAAAACTGGAACCCCATCCGGGTCTCCCAAGTGGGTGCAGGGTCCCAGGCACTTGGGCCATCTTCTGGTGCTTTCCCAGGCACGGTATCATGGAGCTGGGTTGCAAGTGGAGCAGCTAGGATTCTAATCAGAGGTCACAAGAGAGGCCAGCATCACAGTTAGCAGCGTAAACCCCTGAGTCAAGACACTGGCCCTTTACATTAATATGTGAAGCAATGTTTGGGGTTTATGTTCATGGACTGTACAGTTAACTTATACCTTGTGGAATTTATCTGCAGTTAATAGATTTACTTGAAGCTCGGGTTATCTCAATCAACATCTTTTGAAAATATATTTGGTGGGCTGTTACCCTGTCTCACTTGGTTAATCCTCTGCCTGCGGCACTGGCATCCCATATAGGCGCCAGGTTCTAGTCCCGGTTGCTCCTCTTCCAGGCCAGCTCTCTGCTATGGCCCGGGAGTGCAGTGGAGGATGGCCCAAGTGCTTGGGCCCTGCACCCGCATGGGAGACCAGGAAGAAGTGCCTGGCTCTTGGCTTCGGATCAGCGTGACTCTGGCCATAGTGGCCATTTGGGAGGCGAACCAACAGAAGGAAGACCTTTCTCTCTGTCTCTCTCACTTTCTAACTCTGTCAAATAAATTAAAAAAAAAAAAGAAAATATATTTGGTGTATTTTATAACATTGTCTCATTTCTGAACATTTTTATGTCTTCAACTTCTTAACTGTATTCTTAACTATATTCTTAAATGTATTCAACTTTTTAACTATTTCTACTTGTATTGACCAACCCAGTCAAGTACTGGTGTGTTATGCCTCTTCAAAAAATGAGTATATGAATCTCACCACCTCTAATGTGAAGAAAATATATATATACAGGAAATACAGGAGGCAAATAAATTCAACCCAATAAGTGACTTTTAATTATTTACTTGCTATGAAATTTAATTTCCTTATTCACAGATGAGCAAATTCAGAATCAGAGAATAGATGACTTCCTTGTGATCACACAAGTAGGAAGTAATGGAGCTAAGACCCAAGTATCCGCCCTCTTACTCTAGGCCCATGTGAGAGAAGACGCAGAAGTGGCAGAGGGGTTTGTAATCCAGATGTGGTCAAGAAACATTCAAGATCACAGGAAGTAAAGTGATGCAGTACAAAGTATGAGGGGTCTTCAGGAAGTTCATGGAAAATTTATTTTGTGAAAAAAATTACACATAGATTTATCATTTAAGATTTACTTATTTGAAAGAGAGAGAGAGAGAGATAAAGAGATAGAGAGGGAAAGACAGAGAAGGAAAGAGATCTTCCATCTGCTTCACTTCCCCAATGGCTGCAATCACTAGGGTTGGGCCAGACTGCAACCAGGAGCCTGGAACTCCATTCTGATCTCTCACTTGGGTGCAGGGGCCCAAGCACTTGGGCCATCTTCCACTGCCTTCCCAGGTCCAATAGAGGGAGTTGGATGGGAAACAGAGCAGCTGGGACTTGAACCATAGTTCTGATATGGAATACTGGTGTTGCATGTGGTTGTTTCACCTGTTGCACCATAACGCTGGCCCAAAATTATGCATAGATTTAAAGAAATTTGTACCAAAATAAGCTTATCTTTTAATTCCATTTTCCTTGAACTTTTTGAAGACCCCTCATACATCTAATGACATTCTTACAATGAATGAGCAATGGATTTTTAGAGCCTTTAAATACTTAAAATGTGCTTCAATATATAGAAAATATACACTGAACTTTTTTATTTTTAGTTAATTTCTTATTTGAGAGGCAGATAGACAGAACTCCCATTTGCTAGCTTACTCTGCAAATGCCTGCAATGGCCAGGGCTGGACCAGGCTGAATCCAGGAGCTTGGAACTCAAAACATGTCTCCTACATAAGTGGCAGAGACCCAACTACTTGAGCCATCACCTGTTGCCTCCCATGCTGTACATTAGCTGAAAGCTGGAATTGGGAGCAGAGTTAGAACTTAAAACCTAATACTCCAATATAGGATGCAGGTATCTCAACTGGCATCCTAACTGCTAAGCCAAGCAACTATTCCTATACTTTTTTTTTTTAAAATTAAATTATGTTATGCAATAGAACATCTACATTTGTAGAAGGGCTAACTACAGCCCCAAATTATGACCTTCAGAATGGATATTCAATTTTTATCTCTGTAATATGTTCCAGCAATCAAAAGGGTTTGTCCATTGCATTAGGGTATAAGGATTGCTGTAACAACTGCCACCAACTGAATGGCTTAACCAACAGACATTGCGTCACAGTTCTGGAGGTTAGAAGTCCTGGATCAAGGATCTGGGGCGTGACTTTCTCTGAGGGCTCCTGGCGACTTGCTGGCAATCTCTGGTCTTCCTTCATTTCTGCTTCATCACTCGGATCTTGGTCTTCATTTTTACATGCCAGGTTCTCTCTGTGTGGCTCTGTGTCCTCATCTCCTAGATAAGAATACCAGTTATATTGGATTAGGGGCCCATTCTACTCCAGACGGACCTCATTTTAAGAATTTCTTGGCCGGCACGCAGCTAATCCTCCGCCTGAGGCGCCAGCACTCCAGGTTCTAGTCCCAGTTGGGGTGCCAGTTCTGTCCCTGTAGCTCCTCTTCCAGTCCAGCTCTCTGCTGTGGCCCGGGAAGGCAGTGGAGGATGGCTCAGGTCCTTGGGCCCTGCACCTGCATGGGAGACCAGGAGGAAGCACCTGGCTCCTGGCTTCGGATCGATGCAGCGCACCAGCCGTAGCGGCCATTTCAGGGGTGAACCAACAGAAGGAAGACCTTTCTCTCTCTCTCTCTCTCTCTCTCTCTCTCTCTCACTGTCTAACTCTGCCTGTCAAAAAAAAAATATTTTCTTTGGGGGCTGGTGCTATGGCATAGCAGGTTAAACCTCTGCCTTCAGCAACAGCATCCCGATGATATGTGTGCTGGTTTGAGTCCCGCCCATTCCACTTCTAATTCAGTTTTCTGCTAATGGCCTGGGAAAGCAGTGGAAGATGGCCCAAGTGCTTGGTCCCCTGCACCCACATGAAAGACCCAGTAAAAGCTCCTGGCTTCTGGCTTTGGCCTGTCCCAGCCATCTAGGGAGTGAACCAGGGGATGGAAGACCTCTCTCTCTCTCTTTCTCTCTCTCTCTCTCTCTTTCTCTCTCTCTCTTTCTCTCTCTCTGTAACTCTCAAATAAGTAAATATGTCTTTAAAAAATAATAAATAAAATGAATTAAAAATAATTTCTTTGGCAGAGAGATACAACTCAACCCATAACATATTGCAATATGTTCCAGAAGGGATACTGATTATAGGACAAGGGAAAATTAGGATCAATTTTCAAACAAATAATTACATTAAATATATTTATTTATAAAATGTGTTCTCAGGCACATTAGTGGGAACTGGGTTGGAAGCGGGGCAGCAGAGACTCAAATGAGTACTCAGATATGAGATATGGTGTTGCAGGCAGTGGCTCATCTGCTGCACCACAACACTGGTCCATAACTTTATCTGTAACAAATCTACCGTATCTACATTCTACCAATCTAGTTATCATTGGAAAATGTTCATCACATCAGAAAAGTAAAGCTAGCCTGGGAGCCCCTGCTCTACTTCCAATCCAGCTCACTGCTAGTATGCCTGGGAAGGCAGTGAAGATGGTCAGGTCCCTGGCCCTTGCCACCCATGTAGGAGATCCAAGTGAGTTCCTGGTTCCTGGCTTTGGCATGGCTCAGACCTGGGTGTTGTGGCCATTTTGGTAGTAAACTTATGAATGAATGATCTCTTTCTCTCCATCTCTCTTCCCTTCAAATAAATAAAATAAATACAATTTTTAAATAAAGCTATCCTTTGGGTTGAGTCAAGGCTTCGATCCGGGGCTTTGCTTGGTCCACCATTTTTTCCCCTTGGGTAAGTTACCTCTGAACCTCACCTCTGCTTCCCTGTCCTCCCATGCAGTTAAGACTTCGGGGACATCCTTTCTCCAGGCATCCAGGCAGGCTCAGTGAAGAACCACAGGTTGGATTTAATTTGTGACCCCCTATTACACTGAAAAAGCTTTCGTGTCCTTTTAAAGTCCTGCTGCTTCTTCCTGGTGCTTGTGTCATTTGATTAGGAATGTTCTCTAATGTTAAGAGGCTATCATCCAGCCGGCGCCATGGCTCAATAGGCTAATCCTCCGCCTTGTGGCGCTGGCACACCGGGTTCTAGTCCCAGTTGCCCCTCTTCCAGGCCAGCTCTCTGCTATGGCCCGGGGGTGCAGTGGAGGATGGCCCAAGTACTTGGGCCCTGTACCCGCATGGGAGACCAGGATAAGCACCTGGCTCCTGGCTTCGGATCAGCATGGTGCACCGGCTGCAGCGCGCCAGCCGCGACGGCCATTGGAGGGTGAACCAACGGCAAAAGGAAGACCTTTCTCTCTGTCTCTCTCTCACTATCCACTCTGCCTGTCAAAAATAAAAATAAATAAAAAAGAGGCTATCATCAACAACAATTAAAATAATTAAAATCGAAAGAGGGCAAGTTAGGTGATCTTTTTTATTTTTTAAAAAGATTCATTGTTATAATTTATTTGAAAGTCAGATTTACACACACAGAGAGAGAAGGAGAGGCAAAGGGAGAGAGAGGTCTTCCATCCATTGGTTCATTTCCCAATTGGCCGCAATGGCTGGAGCTGCGCCATTCCGAAGCCAGGAGCCAGGAGCTTCTTCCAGGTCTCCCATGCGGGTGCAGGGGCCCAAAGACTTGGGCCATCTTCTACTGCTTTCCCAGGTCATAGCAGAGAGCTGGATTGGAAGAGGAGCAGGCAGGACTAGAATTGGAGCCCAAATGGGGTGCCAGTATGCAGGTGGAGGATTTAACCTATGGTGCCACAGCGCCGGCCCCAGTGGTTTATTTTTAAAAACTAAAAACCATCCCAGTACTGAAGATAAATAGTCTTCAGATGGAGTCACAAAGCTTTTGGAAATCCTCCCCAGCATTCTGACTCCACTGGGCAGTGATGTCACAATGTCCTAGCCAGTTATAGGACCTGCTGGGCCAGGGAAAGGAAGCTCTGAGGAGACACTGTAGATGACTAGATAGATCACATCAATTTCCTAATGAATTTTATACTGTTTATTTTTTTACTTGGGGTTTTTTCCTCAGAGATTAGCAACTTGAAGCCCAACATTGATGGTAAGTGAGCATTTAAAACTTTCACAGAAATAGTAGATATGAATGATAACCAGGGTGGGTGTTGTGGCACAGCAGGTTAAGCTGCCACTTGGGACATCCATGTCCCATGACAGAGTGCCCGGTTCAAGCCCCAGCTACTCCACTTCTGATCCAGCTTCCTGCTAATGCATCCTGCGAGGCAGCAGATGAGACCTCAAGTGCTTGAATCCTGGCCAGCCATTTGGGAGACCTGGATGGAATTCCAGGCTCCTGGCTTTGTTCTGGTCCACCCCTGGCTGTTGTAAGCATTTAGGGAATGAACCAGCAGATGAAAGATTCTCTCTCTCTCTCTCTCTCTCTCTCTCTCTCTCTCTCTCTCTCTCATTTTGCCTTTAAAATAAATAAACACTAAAAAAAAGAGGACCCATAATCATGGACAGTTGGTTTGTGAAAATTTTCTAGAGTATGATGTAAAGTTTATTGTTGGGAATGTGGTATGATTTAGGCTTTAAATCTCTGCCTCTAATCATTTGTGGAAAAATGCAGTTAGAAGCAGGAAGTAGTCAAAGAAATCAACACATTTCTGATCCATGCTGTGTCATGCCTTTTAGAGTTACCTGAGATGACACCTTTCAGTGAAGAAAAATTAAATATGGACGCTATTCCTGCTGTGCATGAAGAAGAGGAAAATGTGGATGTGACTCCTGCTGTACTTAAAGGTGTCACTATTCCTTATATACCAAAAGAAAGAGGAAGGAATATGGGTACTTCTACTATACCTAAAGATGAAGAAAAGAATACGGGTACTGTTTCTAGTATACCTAAAGAAGAAGAACATAATATAGGTACTTCTCCTGACCTACATAACTATGAGGACAAGAATATGGGTACTTCTCCTGACCTACATAAATATGAGGACAAGAATATGGGTACTTCTCCTGAGCTACATAAGGAAGAAGAAAATAATATAGGTACCTCTCCTGATCTACATAAATATGAGGACAAAAATATGGGTAGTTCTCCTGATCTACATAAATATGAAGACAAGAATATGGGTAATTCTCCTGACCTACATAAATATGAGGACAGGAATATGGGTACTTCTCCTGATCTACATAAATATGAAGACAAGAATATGGGTGTTGCTTCTGAGATGCATAAAGATGAATATAATGTGGATACTATACCTGCTAATGAGAAAAGTGGAAATTATTATAGAGATATAAAACAATGTAAGTCTTTCAAGTTAATAGCAATATACCAAAAACTGGTTAGGTTAGATGGGTTATGTCTGAAGTCTCCTTTCTAAACTCCCATAACCATATTCTCTCCCACTTAAATTCTAAGTTATTTTATAGATTTAGCATTGTGTGAAATGAAATCTTTATCTCCTACAATGTTTTTCATGAGATATTATGAAGTTGAACAGGATTCTTGTTGTAGATACTTATAACAGTCTTCATGGCATTATGGCTATTTATTCACACTAGTAACAATGGGCCTAATTTGTTATTAATAAATAAAATTTATTTAGATTTATTTATTTATTTATTTAGATAAATACCACACACTAGGTGGCTGCAAACAACAGAAATTTATTCTCACTCAGTCAGGGAAGCTGAAGATACAAAATCAAACTTCTAGCCAATCAAGTAAAAGCTCTTCTAAAGTTATAGGGAAGAATCTTTCCTGTTCCTGCCCCCAGCTTCAGATAGTCCCAATCACTCCCTGGTTGTGGCAGAATCCCTTCAGTCTCCACCTCCCTTTCCACATGGTCTCCTGTACATCTGTATCCAGGTTTCCCTCTCCTTCTAAGGACATCAATCATAACTGATTAAGAGCCCATCCGACTCCAGTATGACTTCACCTTAATTACATCTTCAATGGCTGCCTTTCCAAAGTTCAGATTCTGTGCTACTGGGGGTCAGGACTTTTCTACAGTTTGGGTATTAGTTTGGACAGTGACCGTCCCTCAAAGGCTCCATGTGTTAAAGGTTTGGTCCCCAAGAGGATACACTATTGGGTGGTGAGGGAATCTTTAGGAGAAGAGCCCAGTGTGAGGTCCTTAGGTCTTTGGAGTGTGCTCTCAACATGGGGTTCTCATGAGAGGGTTGTTATAACATCCTGAGTGTGGACCTAAATGTGGCTCCAGACTTGCCATTAGCTCCTCTACACACACTCTGCCACCTACCATTCTATCTTGGGAATTTCTCAAAAATGATGATACAATAATGGTATCTTTTTTAAATGTGTGACTACTGGGGAGACATGAAAGCATGTATATATTGAAAAAAATCATATCTTCATGAGTGTATAAAATTTTCTGTTACTTAAGTTTTGGTGAGAAGAGATACGTGTGTACATGCATGTTCAGCCTGCCATCTGGATTTAATTTACTTGATCTCTTTGTTGGGTCACTATGTACATTAGTGTTGAATTATAACCAACCTCACTGATTATTCTGAGTAGGATTCCTTGTATGTGTATGGAAATGTATATGGGGAGATCCTGATTTTTATTGAACTACCCAAATCTGAAGTATATGTTCCATAGTCTAACAAAAAGTTCAAGGGCAAGTGAGTGCCTCTCTCTCTCTCTTTTTTTAATGTCAGTAGAAACAGTGATACTATTTAGTATCTCCATAGGTATTTTGCAACCTGTTAGGTCTTTATAGTTTTTTCCCATGAATTTCCTCCCAAAATTACTTCTCAGAAAGTCATTTAGCATAAAGTTTCTAGTTTGACGTTTTTCCACATGAATTTTGGATTTGACCATTGCCAAATTTTCTTATTTTGTAGTTGAAAAATGACCAAAATATTCCTCTCTTATTCTTCTTTTGGAAGTAGTCAGTGCATATGTTTTAAGAAAAAAAAATCAGATAAGGAAAAATGCAAAGGACTGAGAGTTGAATAGGCTAATTGCTGAAGACTTTTGATTTTATGCTTTTAGATGTGTTCACAACACACAATCCAAATGGCTCCGAGTCTGAAATATCCGTGAGAGCAACCACTGATCTGAGATTTGCTCTAAAAAACTGTAAGTACTGAAAGGTGCTTTTGCACATACTAAAACCCTTAAAGCAAGCTTTCAAAACAGCACTGGAATGTGTTGGGTAGAAAGAAGTGTTCATTCCCAAGTAAAACTAGCATTTCCCCTCTAAAGTAGATTCTCTGACTCTGGGACCTGATTGAATTTTCAGTCATCCCTTAGGTTCTTTCCTTTTTTCACTCCTCTCTCCATACAGTTGAGATTTTATGTCCACGGTGCTGATCGTTTCAGAAGGCAGAGAGGTTCTTAGAAGTTCTAAACTTATCATTGGTTTGCATGGAAAATAAATTTGTAAGTTTAGGATCCTAAAAATTATACATCTTTCTTAAATGCCACACTTGTACTCCTTACTGTTTTTTATCTTCAGCTTTGAACAAGGCAGAGAGAATGTTTCTGGCTGTGGCAGTTTCAATGTTGGAAAAAGCCAGACTCAGTAATGCCTGATTTCTAATAAAGCTACTTGACAAGCGTGGAATATTTGAGTAATTTTAAGCCTTGGCATTTAAATTAGAACGTGACATTTCAAAGACACACATTAATTAGATAAATCGCTCATGGAAGTCTTACGTGTTCACAGCAAACAGCATTTTGAATTATTTGGGATGAGAAGAGAAACCCAGCTCTTCCTAAGTGGATCAGGTGCCTCAAATTCCCTTAGGATATGGGTTATTGAGGACCACAGGACCCAAGGAAAAGATTCCAAAATGCTGAATTCTGGTCCCACAGTTCAGGCTTCTGGAGGCTTGTTAAAGAAAGTTGAATTAGCATAGGAAATCCCTGCCATCTTAAGTGGTGCTCCGACACAGGGGACAGGCAGGCACAGTAGGGATGACCTGGCAGAAATGTAATTTTGAGTCAAGATCACTTGCAGAAGTAAAGTCCCTATAACTCTGAGGGCAAGGAGGGTACGATGAGGCAAACCAGGTGCATTTCTCCAAAGTAGAGTATAAGAGTTGCATATCAGATTTTAAGGATTACTTAATTTTTCAAGTCTTGTCTGGATGTATATCAACTCCAGTATGGGTTCTCTTTTCCATCCCTTCTTGTCTTGAAGATGACTGTAATGGGGGTGGGTATTTGGCCTGGCAGTTAAGAGATCCATTAAGATGGCCCTGTGCCCGGATTCTGTTTCCAACTCTGGCTCCTGACTCCAGCTTCTGCTGATGCGGATCCTGGGAGGCAGCAGGTGATAGCTCAAGTAATTGGGTTCTCTCCACCCACGTGGCAGACCTGGGTTGCTTTCCCAGCTTTTTGCTTTGGTCTTGGTCCAGCTTGGGTTGTTGTGGGCGTTTGAGGAGTAAATCAGCAGATTGCAGTTTTTTTTTCTCCTTCTATCTCTCTGTCTCTGTCTGCCTCCCAAAGAAAATAATGAAAACTTGTTTAAAAGATTCCTGAAATGGGTATGTAAACTCAGTCTGAATTCTGAATTCATTCCGCCTCTCTAGAATTTCCCCAATACTGGGGCTGGCTGTACTCTATTCAGAACTTTATTGACACCTGTATAAGCAAAGTTCACTGAAATGACCAGCTACATGGGGGAAAATGACCCCCCAGTCGCAATTATTCCCAACCAAGTGACATAAGTCCCTCCAGTTGGACACATTATAAACTGATACGGGTGTTAAGTTAGGCCTGCAAATCCTAGATTTCTAGTCCAAAATCTTTACATGCAAAACCCTGTAGAGTGTCTCCCTGCTTCCTGTCACTACACTGTCCAGCAGCCAAGCTGCTTTACATGGAGAATATTATCTCAAGACTCGTGCAAGTAACCATCTCAAACCACTTGTGTCATCCAACAGGATGTACGTCGCCTGCCCCTGGCCCTGTGTTTCCTACCTTTCCTCTTTCACAAATTCTAGGCCTATGAATCCCACCTCAGGCAAGCCATTGTCACGTGGGTTTGCCTTTCCCTTTCTTTATTTCAGGAAAATATCAATGTCTTGTCTTTCTTCTAGTTTGTTCCATTTTTTACTTAAAAAATGCCTAATCACAGATGTTGAGTCAGTATTTTTATATGCTGATAACCCTTTATTCCTTTTCCTAGATAAACTTGGCAATGCAAGTGCTGAAAAACCCAGTGAAGAAAAACCTTCAGAACCCTCTCATAAAAATATTCAAAGTATTAAAATTACTACACTGTATTCATACCTGGAGCATATCATTATATGACTTAAAAATTTAAGATTCACTACTCTGAGCATTACATAAAGTAATAGCATGCTTAAAGAATTTATGTTGCTATATTTTAAAGTCACTCGGAAATCTTTTAAATGGTGAATATCTAACAGGCACTTCTCAGATGTATCTGACAAGGAATAGGAAGTGAGCCTTTTTAGAAATGTAACTTTCTTTTAATGAAATACGTATTTATATCCAGATCAAATATATATTTATAATTTAATGTGTATTTATAAATATAAACATATTGGATGTATTTTAAATATAATTTATTTTGATAGATAATATAAATATTACCTGCTTGAGGAATAAACTTACCTCTGGTTAGAGTCAACTGTTAGTGTTTCTTAAGTTTTTATTTGTTTGGGAGGCTGAAAAATCAAAATCACCATTGTGGTCTTCTACCAAGAATATTGTTCCTTATGAAATATTTGTGAAGTCTTAACAACCTAGGATGGCTCTCTTCTAAGGTTCTCAATGAGTGGTCTAATTGAAGACAATGGATACTTACCTGTCATTTTCTCCAGTTCATACAGTCTAAGTATGTTTCTAGTAGGATTACTTTGAATTTGTTTGCATCTTTAACACTAACAAACCAAACTTATCTTACTTTTGGATATACTTCAAATTGGAAACCTGATCATCCTGGTACCCCATTCTGAACTATCTTCAGTAACTGACTACTAGGTTTGAGGTCATGTTTAATTTCTTAACCAAGCGTTCATGCCTGAGACAATCCAAGCATTGCAAGAAGTTGAGAGTCTCATCTCTGGTCACATTCCCCTTTCATATAATTGACTCCAGACTACCTGAGGCTCCCAGAGCTCCCTCAACCTGCTTATGATTCTGTTTCCTCTTAGCTGGAATAACTCTCCCTTGCTTTGCTTGCCTAGTGAACAATTTCTAGTCCTTTAAGCCTATACTATAGCATCACCTGCCTTTTCAAGGGTTCCCAGCCTTCCCAAGTTGACTTGGGCCCTGTGCATGCCACCTCTGCCTGTCTAGTAGAGCTTTCATTAGCCTGCAACATAACCAACAGTGATTCTGGTCTGCGCCACAGTGGGTTCCTTGAGCTTAGGCCTGTGACACATTTGCTTTGGGTCCGGCACATGGCAGGAGCTCTAGTTATACTCTAACTCCTAAATGACCAATGAATGAATGTTACTAAGGCTAAAAATATCCTATTTTGTTATTTTTGTTTGTGATATTAGCTATTTTTGTTCTTTTTTTAAAACAGGAACAACCCCAAATCTGCCTGAATTTTGGACAATGTTAGCCAAAGGTAAATGCATACAGATAGGTAGCTGGGGAAATGTTTTGGTTTTCTAAAATTTTATGTAAGGAAGCCAAGATCTGCCTAAATATGTCTAATATGGAGTCAGTATGCCAATATTTTGTTGCCACATGTAAAAACAAATGCAAAACAAACCCAGCAAGGTGATAAAGTGTCACACATTTTCTGATTCTCTCCCCACCAAGAATTTTATTTTTCCTATAAATGTTAAAATCTAGTCATTCAACTTAATTTATGATTAAAACTTTTAAATAAGGTTCTTGCCCAGTCTAAGATCTCTTCATGATTAAAATTAGCACAATTAGCATTGTGCATAGAAGCACATAGAAACACATGTATAAATGTAAAGAATATAGCAAAATACATACATGTATAACAGTAATGCATATATCATAAGCACACACAGAAATGTAGTCTACACATTAATCTATTCACACATAAATATTATGTGCATATATAGATGAACATCTGTATAACTATAATGAATGTGTCACAGATGTAAAAACAAGACAATGTGCAGTACATACCATATTCAGTCAATCCTCATTATTCACAAGTTCTGTATTTGATTTCTGAATCACTTACTTGCTAATACTTCTATCATTCCAAAATCAGTACTTGTAACACCTTTATGGTCATTTGTGGATATCGACAAATGTCAAAAAATTTTAATTGTTTGGCATGCACAGTTACACCTTGAGCTGGCCCTCAAGAGTAGCGTTAAATTGTTTAGTGTTCCGAAGTGCAGGAAGGCTGTGATAGAGAAAATACATGAGTTATAGTGATGTTTATGCTATGCAGAACATAATGACTACCTTGAATAATTAGAACAGACTATATGTGTATCACACATACATCCACACACATTTATACACATATTTTTTGTGAGAACTGTTGACCATAACATCACTTTATTGTTTTAACAGCTTTAACTCAGTCAACATCCGGGTTCGAGGGAAATGATTTATTTAAACCAATTCCAGGTAAGAACAAAGTATTTCACTTAATACATAAATATTCACACCCATTTTAGCATGGCAATACTGTTTCCCCAGGCGAGGCGTACTGTGTGAGGGAGGGGACTGTGATAGCTAACATCACAAGGGTGAGGCTGTTTACTGCTTTAGGAGTAATACGCTCCTGCGTATTCTTCTCCGGTTACTGTTTTGCAGATAACACCCATTATCATCTTCCTCTTTAAGATTCTACTCCTAAAACAGGTAAACCGGGTGGAGGACTGGACACATGAGTAACGTGGTCTTTTTTAAAAAGAGATTTTATTTTTAAGAAGAATTTAAACAAAGATAATTTCAGCAGAAAATACTCATACAGGGAGTTACTATGTCCCATCTCCCCCAGTTTCCCCTATTATTAACATCTTGCATTGGTGTGGTCCATTAGTTACGATTTATGAACACTGATTTGCACCTACTGATATGATTATTACCCAAAGCCCCTATTTAACACGAGGGTTTATTCTTTGTGTTGTATGATTCTGTGGGTTTTCACAAATGCAGTGTCGTGGATAACACCAACACCATTTCAGAAGAAGTGTCATTGCCTGCAAGTGCCCTATGCCCCTAGCAATTCATCCCTCCATTCCTTTCTCTGCCTGAACCCTGGGCAACCACCCATTTTTTTACCTTTGCTACATATTTACCTTTTCCAAATGTTATATTGTTGGAATCATACAGTAAGTAGCCTTTTCAGATTGGCTTCTTTCACTTAGAAATATGCATTTACAATTCCCCATATTTTGACAGCCTGATTTCTCTTTCTCAAAATATCCCATTGTATGATTTTTCCCAGTTTATTCACCTACTAAAGAACATTTTGGTTGCATATGACTTTTAATAATTATGACTAAAAGAGGTATAAACATTTGTGTGCAGGTTTTTGTGGGGACATAAATTTCAACTCATGAAAGTAAATAACTAGGAGTGCAATTGCTGGATCACATTCAGCTTTGTAAGAAACCATCAAACTGTCTTCCAGAGTGGCTGCTACCATTTGCAGTCTCACTGGCAATGAATGTGAGTTCTGAATACAGTTTTCACTAATGAGTTGATTATTTTCAGAAGAGTAAAAAAAACTCCTGAGTTGGATGAAAGTTTCATGACAAGGCAATATGCTAATTTCCCCTCCAAACCTGTCATACAAACAAATGATTAAAAAAGAAATGGCATCTGGTGATTAATCTAAGTCCTGTCACCTCAGTTCTGTACAGGAGCGTTTGGCAAGTGTACTCATCTGTCATGTGGTGCTTTAAGAAAAAAGAGCAAGTGGTCTTTGTTTAGAGAAGTTATTTATAGGAATGATCACTGCTGGGTCATTTTAGACATACTTTGTAAGTTCTCTGACTGAAGTGATTAAATTGAGCTTTATTGATTTTTCTTTTTTGAGCACAGACTACATGCTAAGTACTTTGGTTTACATCATTAGATTGGTCCTCACAGCAATATCCTGAAGTTGGTATTATCTTCATTTTATAGATATGGAAACTGAAGCTTAAAAGGAAATCTGTCCAAGCTTATAGTGATTAGAAATTCTAAACCCTTCTCTGGGTGTGATCACCACCCTGTCATGTAAATTCACAAGAAGCTATAAGCGTGCCTCTTTATAAAAACACATTGAAGAAACAGAGAAGCTGTTTAGGGGCATTTAAACATAATTAAGCATTTAAACATAATTTGTTTGAGTATTCACAAAATAATCAACCTCAAAGCTAGATAAAACAGTCATTGACAACTATGCATATGTTACTCTACATGGTCCAAGCCACACTTGACAACTATTTTTTTTTTTAAAGATTTATTGTATTTATTTGAAAGGCAGAGTCAGAGAGAGAGAGAGAGAGAGGGACAGACAGAGAGAGGTCTTCTATTCAACAGTTCACTCCCTAAATGGCGCACGTCCTGGGGCTGGGCCAGACCAAAGCCAGGAGCTAGGAGCTTCATGCAGATCTCTCACTTGGGTGCAGGGGCCCAAGCACTTGGGCCATCTTCCACTGCTTTCCCAGGCACATTAGCAGGGAGCTGGATTGGAAGTGGAGCAGCAGGACTCAAACAGGTGCCCATATAGGATGCTGGCACTTCAGACGGCTGCCTTAACACCAGCCCTGACAACTATAATTTTTAAAAAGCAGAGAATGTAGGCCGGCGCCGCGGCTCACTAGGCTAATCCTCCGCCTAGCGGCGCCGGCACACCGGGTTCTAGTCCCGGTCGGGGCGCCGGATTCTGTCCCGGTTGCCCCTCTTCCAGGCCAGCTCTCTGCTGTGGCCAGGGAGTGCAGTGGAGGATGGCCCAGGTGCTTGGGCCCTGCACCCCATGGGAGACCAGGAAAAGCACCTGGCTCCTGGCTCCGGCCATCGGATCAGCGCGGTGCGCCGGCCGCAGCGCGCCGGCTGCGGCGGCCATTGGAGGGTGAACCAACGGCAAAGGAAGACCTTTCTCTCTGTCTCTCTCTCTCACTGTCCACTCTGCCTGTCAAAAAAAAAAAAAAAAAAAAGCAGAGAATGTAGACATGGGAGTTAGTCATTGCATATTGCTTAAATACCATTACCTGGAAAACAGTAAAGGCCTTGGAACTTTTGGGTGGGGGCATAGGGAGCTGGAAAAGCAAAGAACCAACACACAGTCATCTAAAACCATCCTTAAATAAATGGCCCATAAGGTAGATATATATTCAGGAAGAAGGAAAATTTGCTAGCAAAGATAGATGTTTGTTAACAGATGCAGTAAAAAGGCTCTTAATATCTCTGGATTCAGGCAATTTTATTAACTTGTTTTAGAAAGTTAAATTAGTTCTTTCCATTTCTTTATGTAATATCAAATACATTTGGTTTCATACTCTCAGTAATAAAATGGAAAATTTAACTCTTAAGCCTCATGAGTCTTCCACTACACCATCTCTATAGCTTAAAAGAAAAATGCGCTCCCCAACAGTAGAGCATACACTCTCTAGAGGAAATGGCCCCTTGTAAGTTAATCACTTTTCCTCATGAGTTCTTCAGAGACGTTAGATTACTTCAACTGGTCTGTAGTAAAGTCAGCAAAGTCTGGTACAGACACATTTTGACATCTGGTATCCTGAACGTAAAGACAGATTCTGCCCCTCACTCGCAGCTGTGTGCCATGGGCCAATGCATAAGCACCTGTGAATCGGTAAACTGCAGCTAGGGGCACTTCCTCCACGTGGCCATGAAGGTTAAAGGGACCAGAACAGAGAACCCGGCCACAGGGAGTAGCCTTGGCCTTTATGGTGGAGGGCTTTTCTGCCTTTGCTCTGCAACCCTTACTCCTCCCGGAAAACAGGTCAAACACGCTCTTTTCCATTGCCTTTTCTTTCTTTCCTCTCAGGCTCTGATGTAAATGCTACAAACCAAGACAAACTGTCAGAGCTGCAGGAAATCAAACTCAAATTAATGTTGGGCATTGCACTGATGACCCTCCTCCTTTTTGTCACCCTCTTGGCCTTCTGTAGTGCCACACTGTACAATCTGAAGCAGCTGAGGTAAGTCTGCAGAGTTCTGCAGTCCTCGTAACCAACGCAGCATGTCGAGTTCACTCTCTGCTCGCTAGGAGATTGTTAGGAATACGTGGCTCCCAAATATATTAATTCTCCTGAATATTTAAAGTGTTCAGTTTGACTTTATTTCCCCTATGCAGAAGGAACATGGGACTGCCTCTCAGGGAATATCCTACCTAAACTTTGCCCCTAATACTTTTTTTTTTTTTTTTAATTTTATTTGAAAGGCAGAGCAATTGATAGAGATCTCCCATCTACTGGTTCCTTCCCCAAATGCCTGCAACAGCCAGGGCTGGGACTAGTCCAAAGCTAGAGATGGGAATGCTATCCAGGTCTCCCACATGTATGGCAAGGACTTCAGCGTTTGAGCCATCACCACTGCCTACCACAGTGTGCCTTAGCAGAAAGCTGGAATGGGGAACGGAACCAGGACTTGAAACCAGGCACTCCAATCTGGGATACAGGAAACCCAACCAGCACTTAAACCTCTATGCCAAATACCCACCCTGCCCTAGTATGTTAGTTAGCTAGGGATAGATACCCCTAGTCAGTTGAAAAGGATGTAGATTCTAGATCTGCTTTTTCGTGATACTAGCTTGGGAACCAAAGGTCCCCACATCCTGTTCTAAGGAGCACATCTTCTTAGGGTCTAACATTTTTCATTCAAGCAGGTCTCAAGGCCTTCAAAAAATAACATGTCTATGTGTTACATTTATACATTAAGGCTTATCAATTTGTTCTTTCTTACAAAAATATCAAATTCAGTTCAAGCCTGATTGAGGGGATTATTTAAAATTTATCATACTAACAGATTACTTTAAAAATCCCAACAGGATTGCTTCATGTTCACAATTATGAATTCCATTCTTTTGATGGTCGTGCTTTGGAGGAATGGTGTATTTCTTGGGGACAACCCTAGCTATTTATTCCCCCTAATTCAGTTTCTTTGTACATGTTTCAGATTAAACTTTTATTAAAGCAGCTTTTCCTATTTTAGTAAATTGGTTTCTAAACTCTAGACTTGGGGTTTAAAACATGCTTCATTCACACAGGTATTAGATATAATAAACTTACAATTAAGGGAAAAAAGCATCATTTATATAATGTTAAGTAACTAGTACACTGGATGGAATTTAATTTTTGTGAATGCTTTTCTAAGTTGAATTACAAATGTACACAATTAAAAACAATTCTTGATATATGTTCTTTTCCTTTTCAGTTATAAAAGTTGTGAGAGTCAATACTCTATCAACCCAGAGCTGGCCACTCTTTCTTACTTTCATCCATCAGAAGGTGTATCAGACACATCTTTTTCTAAGAGTGCAGAGAGCAGCACATTTTGGGGCACCACTTCTTCAGATTTGAGAAAATCAGGCACAAGAAGGTCAAAATCTAAAAATTTGACGGACATGACTTCCACGGGCTCAGATGAAACGGGCATGAATGAGGAGTCAGACTTAGTTAACAGTGAGGAACCGAATGAGGAAAAATAGATAACTTTGACTCTTTTGTCAAAAAAAAAATCTTTTTGTCTCATTCTAATGCCATGATTTTGAAACTGCTGAGACATTTACATTTTCTAGTGTCTTAAAAGAAGGACATCTTCAATAAAAGCTATTTCAGTTTTAAAATTTATTTAATGGAAAATACACAAGGAAATAATTCAAGGTGTAGAAAACTCATCAAGTAAAAAACCACCCCGGAGAGCGACTTATGACTCGTTTTTAAATGAGGACATTTAGATATTTGTCTGACTGGTGGGGCATTTTGAGGACTCTCAGGATGCTCTCCACCACGTAGGTCTCCACCGCCACCTCCAAATCAAAAAGAACACACCTGTTCATGTTTAATCGCCAAAACAGTTGGGCCATCAAGAGGTGAACCTAACTAAGTTAGTGGTAGAAACTGCTTAGAATTCTTGTTTAAAAGTCATCAGGATTGCTCTCATGGGGCAAATTAAGGGAAAAAGATTTTTTTCCTAACATTTCTAAAGTATCCATAACCATCTGAGATAACACGGTATTCCAGAAGAGGAGGAGGGAAGGAGCGGATCCCAGCATGCAATTCCCAGAGCAGGGTTCATGTCCCCCAGGTCTTTGGAGAGCTGAAGTGCTCCTCTCTCTTCCTCCCGGTAGTGGGCGCTCACTAGTGCTCCGACAGCAAAGCATCTCACAGACTAATTCGAGTAGTGACGTTTGAGATTCTCCGCACCAGAGTATTTCAGTTTACGAAGGAGGTAAACTGGATAGGCATGTTTCCTTAGGAACTGCTTTTGAGTGGAAGGATTTTAGGGACACGCGTCGGATCTCCTGGGGCGGGTTTCCTTGTCCTCAATTCTTAACCACAACAATAGCTTCCATTGCTTGGGTGCCTACTTTGTGCTAAGCATTTTAGTACATTCAGGGAGTCCAACTACCCTATAAAAGGTGAGTTTATTTTACAGATCAAGAACTCCAAACTCAGGTAAGTCAGCTAGCTTGCCTAGAATCACCTGCTAGCGAGGGGCAAAGCGCTCACGCGCTTCCAGACTGGGTTCTCTACCTGATCCTTGAAGGTGAATAGTCTACAGAAGTGAGTTTTCGGAGCACGAGAAACGCCGAATCCAAGAGGCATTGAGTTCGTCCAGCCAGGTGTTCTTTCAGCTCCTGGGAAACCGTTCTCCCTGCTTCGGGCTTAGATCTCAATGATGCCTCTTCCCCACGTGTGCATGAGCTCACCTGCCACTCGCCCTGCAGTCCCTTCTCCGGCTCACCCCCACCCCCGCCCCGCCCCGCCCCGCCATTTCTTCCCAGTCTCCAGCGTCAGGGGCGCTCACCATTGGATGGGAAAGCTACGAAGCCCCGCCTTAGAATGCTGATGGCCTACATAAGACGGCACCGTCGGCGGAAGAGAAGTAGCAGCACAGGAGGTGCGCGCTGCCTCGGCTCTGCCAGTAGCACGCCAGTTTCTGAGCCGGCGACGGTACGCCTTGCGCAGCAGCCCATGCTACCCTCTGCTGGTTACTTTTGCCACTTCCCGTGCCCTTTTGACAGCCCCAGGGGTGGATGTCAGCGTTTGCACTGCCAGTTCAGACACCTGGAGGCGCAGTGGGAGCTGGCTGAGGCAAGTAGGTCCAGCCCCTTGGAAGAGCTCCAGGTGCACAGGAGTCCTGTAGAGTCCAAGGGTGAGAAAGGGCGTGTGGGAGGCGGAAGGGCTTGAGAATCAACTGTTCCCGCCTTTTCCTTCTGCCCGTCCTTGGGAAGCACCAAGAACACTCTTGATTGGAAACAGACGCTGAGTCACCTTTGAATCCCAGAACTTGTCTCCAGGACTGAAAAACAGCATTGTAGAGAAGGGAAATGAGTCTATATAGTGCAGTTACCCTGGCCCAAATGTCTAAAGGCACAAAGAAAAGTGTTAACTAAATTTTTAAAAATTGGCTCCTCCTCCTCCTCCCCTCCAAGACAGCTGGTACCATTGTAACATGCGCTCAAGGCCGTCTGAGGGCGCAGGATGGGGCATACAAGGCGTCAGGAGTCCTCTCTCCCTTCCCTGGTCCATGAGCCAGGAGACGGTCACGCAGCCCCCGCTGCCGGTTTGGTTTCCTCGTTTGTCCGGGGCTCTACGCCCTGGTACACCTGTGCCATTTCTGAGCAGGTGTTCCTGGCCTCCCACCTGTTTCTCCGCCAGAGCACGGAAGCCTGTGGGTTTCTCCGCGGTCTGAAACGCCCTCTCGTTTCCTTCTCCCAATGCGCCCTCGCCTGCCTCTCCTCCAGCACACAATGTGGGACTTTAAACTGCGCTCTCCTTGTCCTGGAGCTGAATTCCGATGCCCTGCGTGTTCTGCGTCCTGAGGCCCTGGGGTGCTTATGGCCAGACTGGCTCCAGAAAGTTAATCTTCCCAGCGTGGCACCCCGCGGGGCGAAGCCTAAAGTGCTGGTATTGTCCCTCTCTCCTGTCCCTCCTACGGCAAGGGTGGCCCGACACCTGCGCAGCTCCGCCCTCCCGGGGTTGGCGGGGCGGGTGGCGGTCCCAAGCGCACCTGGGGACGCTGCTGCCCGGCAACGGAGCGAGCAGGCAGGCGCCCGCGAGGCGCTCGGTTGGGGCGGGGCGGGGCGGGGCGCAGGGCAGGAGGCCCCGGGTGTGAGCGTGCGGCGGGCGCGCGCTCCACGTGCTGGGGACTGGTTAAGTGCCTGCTCTTGGGAGCACAGGGTGCTAGACCGGCTTCTAGAAGGAGCACGGCGGGTTTGCTGGTTGTGAGCTGGTCTGTGCGTGGTCTTTTGTGGTCTTAGCCTCTGCCTCTGTTACCCGCGAGTTAATTGTTAAGGGGCTTCCTCTGCTTTGGTGAAAGGTGAGGGGCTCGGGTTGAAGAGGTGGAATGGGACTTGGCGCTGGGCCCTTGTTAATTCAGCTTGGGTCATGGAGTAATTACGAGTTCAGAGGAGCTGCCCCTCAGCACTTCCAACTGAACCCTCCAATCTAGATTCTGGCGAAGAAAGGACGTTTAAACTGGTCTGGAGGGAAATTGGATCTGCCTTTTTGGTAGTAACACACACTCCTCCAAGTGTTTGACAGCCTTTCCCAACTCGTTGCAACTGCCTTCAACCCGGTTTATGCCATGTGCATATCTGGCTGGTTATCGCGAGTTTATATAAAAAGAAATCAGATCTGGGCATTTATGAGTGGGTCCTGGGACATTGCTTGCTCTGCCTTTTCCTCTCCTTCTCCCTCCTACAGTGCCGGTTTTTCCTTCCATTTTGTATTTCAATGGAGTTGATTTCTTAACAGAAAATGCCTGGTAAATTGAAAGACTGTTGAGCCAGAGGAAGTTTACTGTATAAAAAGGAAATGTGTATGTTATCAAAGCATAGGCTATCTAAAATGCTAAAAACTTTTGAGATGTAGTTTGGACCTTACCTCACATCTGACACGTCTTGTTTGGCAGATGGGAGAAGTGTGTAAGTTGTCTTGACTTTGACATAGGAAAGTGCGCCTTGGCAAAAGGGAAGAGGTTGTGAATCTGTAGTTAAAATGCAGAATGAAGCCACCAGGCTGTTGTGTAAAGTGATCACTTCAAGCGAGGTGTGAGTTGTGGATTAGCAGGTGTTCCTGTCTCAGTGCTGGATTTCCCCAGGAGTGTGGAATTAGCTGCTCTGGAGTTTCGTTTCCTGATTCTTAGATCCTTACGGTTGTGTGGGTTTGCCTTTTCTTTTCAAACCATTCTACAGACTTCAGGAATCCCGGTGAGAATGTTGAGACCTGCTAAATGAAGGAAAGACTTAGGCCTCAAATAATTGTTTCTAATGGAGAAGGGAGATGTATTGAGGTACACGACTGTATGGAGTTCTGTGTAAGTGACATTTGTCTATTTGAACTCCTTCCAAATTACTTGTTAGTTGGTAATAGGGTGAATAGATGGTACCCAAACCACATCACATGTGAGGTAATTTAATAATTATGCCTGAGCCAGGTCTGTCCCACTGATGTATATCTACTGTACTAAAAAGGCATGAATGTATTGTTTTAAAGATTTATTTATTTATTTGAAAGTATGAGTTACACAGAGAAGGAGAGGGAGAGGGAGAGAGGTCTTCCATCCACTGGTTCACTCCCCAATAGGCCACAACAGCCAGAGCTATGCCGATCCAAAGCCAGGAGCCAGGAGCTTTCTCTGGGTCTCCCATGTGGGTGCAGGGGCCCAAAGACTTAAGCCATCCTCCACTGCTTTCCCAGGTCATAGCAGAAAGCTGAATCAGAAGTGGAGCAGCCGGGACTCGAACTGGCACCCATTAGGATGCCAGAACTGCAGGCCGCGGCTTTACCTGCTACGCCACAGCACCGACCCCATGAATGTACTTTAATTAGTCATGGGGATGAGCTGGACATTTGACAGACTTAGCAGTGACGGTCACTGGATTCTCATCCTCCCAAGAACAGATCACGTAGTAAGCTACCCCCCGTGTTAAAGATGGGTTTTGAAGAGTTAAGGTCCTGATAGGAAGCTTCTTGTCTAGGATATTCTGAAATCTGCATTTCATCTTAAGTGACTTTAAAGATAAAGCAAATGTCATTTTCCATTGGTGGCGCTAGGTACAGCCATGGAAGAATTAGAAAAAATCAACAAAGAAATTGAGGCCGTCAGGACGGAAGTTGAAGAAAGCCAGAGGAGCCCCGTGAATTTTACTTTAGCGCTTGAAGAACTAACTCAGAGCCCTGTGGCCTCCTTGAATAACACAAATGTGAACCAAGATTTTCCTAAAAATGACCTGCTGCCAGAGGAGAGATGGAAGGAGCCATCAAGGAACAAAGACAGTCAGCTTAGAACGTATGTGATGGACCACAAATGTCCAGCAACTGATCTTGAATATGATCCTTTGCCCAATTATTCTGCGGAGTTGCTTGGGACATCAAAAGCAGAGCAGGATGAGACTGACCAACAGAACTGCCAGTTGAAAAAATATGTGGGTGAAAATTGCCTCCTGCCCCTCAAAAGCCAAAAACCTTTTTCACTAATAAGAATTAAAATAAATCTTCAAGACTCTGATGATGATGAACTTGTAATAGATGCACCACCACTCATGCCTACTTCTAAGAAATCGAAACTATTTAGAGGCTCCAAATGTCAGAATAAAGATAAAAAGGTAAATATCACACCCCTGGAGGAGAAGAATCTTCAGATTAGTGCCCCAGAAGAGAAAAATACAGGCAAATCCCAACTAACCACACAAATAGATGACAGGCACACATCGGAACCACCCCCGTTACTCATGGAAACACCACTAGATATGAAAAATAATGTGGTCTTGAATCCTGTTAAAACCCATACGTCTAAGAAGGGAAGCTTTGGTTATGAAAAGGATAGCTATATCTTAGAAGAAGGTCACAAAAAAACCCTGAAGGATAGTCATAATGAACATTATGTAAAGAGCCAGAAATATTTCAAATCGTTTTATGATACTCAAAACAAAGAAACTGAATGTCCATACTCACTAGGCCGGTCCCAGATTTCTTGTTCAGATGAACGTGCAAAAGACAGAGTGCTCAGAGCACAAAACAATCGTCAGGAGTCCACTGCATTTGCAGATAGCAAGGTAACTGAGTGGGAATCTGGTAATGAACCTGCTGCCGTTGACATCGCCCCTGACTCTGGCAACACCATGAAGGCATGTCCTCGAATTCCCAGTGAGTCCACAGAAAATGAAGCTCACAAAAAGACAAAGCAGGTTGGTGTCTTTTTTCCCTTTGTCTTTTTCCTAAATATAAAAGAGCTTTTAAATACATATACTTACTGTATATAGTCTATGGAATATGCAGATAGTATCTATGGACTATCATATGGAAATATATAGACTATATATGTAATATTCTAATAGTTTGGAATGACAAGGTGAAAGTCTTCACAACTGGCCAGCAATATTGTCTTGCAAAGTTGTCAGTTTCCAAAGGCATCATATTATATACAGTAACACATAGTTGTTGACCCAAATTAGAGGATTCTTTTATAGGAATGCATGCATATAAAATTCCTTGAATTCAGTGATGATTTTTGTGAATTATTTTTGATTTTCCAAATATTTTTGTAGCTTAGGTTCATGTGGCTTTGCAAGGAACTTGCTAAATTTACCTTTATTAAACTAAAATCAATCTTTTTTTCTCTTTAGGCTTCAGGAAATCAAGATATGTTGAATTACAGAAGCACTTCTGGGCCAAAGAAGAGAATTGCACACACTGCCAAATTTGATGTGAGTCATTTAGTTGCTTATTTCCCCCCGCTGCAGAACCGAAATATGGCATGCTTTGCCATTGTCTACTTTTAAAGTATCTAATAATTATCTTGTCATCCACCAGGGGGCACATGTGGGGAGTCAATATGCTGATTATACTAGGGAGCATCTTCCAAGTCCTTGACTTCTCCTTTTTACCTAACAGTTTTCATTGAAAGCATGTATAATGTCATTGCATGGGCTTCTAACTATAAGTGGATCCTCATTAATTGCAGGATCAAAATTTGCAAGTTGGCCTACTCAGTGAAATGTATTTGTAACTTTAAAACCAAGACTGCTTTTGTGTTCATTCTTGGACATGCAAAGGCTGGCAAAAAACAAACAAAAACTTAACTACCTGATAGAGAAGGCAACACAAATGTCTTGTTTCAGGTCTCATACTGTAAACAGATTTTGGTCATCTATTTAGTGCCATATTTTTGCACTTAGGTGCTTTTTGTTGGTGACTTTATGCTACCAAAGGGCCTTAAGTGTAATGTTTCTAAGCCCAGGAAGACTATGATTATGCTTTACAGAGAATATTCATTAGATCATCTTTGGTTGTGAGTTATAGTACAGCTGGCCATTAGCATTAGTCTTAGACACATGCACACGTAAAACAAGGTTGATAAAGTTGACAAAAATGCTGTGACCAGACACTAACCTGAACCTAACTATGTAGTTCATTTGCCCCAGGAGCCATGGTTCAGATTTTGTGAATTTAGTGTTTATGGGGTCTTTATGAAGTGCAACTACCTCAGATAACCAGTTGGTTTTAGTTTTGGAAAGTAATTTGAACCTCTGGTAATTTGAACCTCTGGTAATTTGTTTTTTCATGACACGTTAAAGGAGAAGTTGCGGTAGTGAAGCCAGTAGCATTTCTTTAACTCTGTTGTGATATTTAATACAAATTCTACTTCTCAGGTCTAGTCTCCATCATCTATACTTGGTGAACACTAAAAGCAAAACTTTGCATGGCATTAAAAAAATTAAAAAAAAAAAAACTCAATGCTTCCAAGACACTGATAAGATCTCAATTCTGCTACTTCGCAACATAGTCAATGTCCTTGAAGAAGTTACTTAAGTCTTTTTCTGTTCTTCACTTTCCTTTCCTGTGAAAGAGATGTTAAGCACCTTTCCCAGAGTTGAATCTAGAGGTACTTATAAGCTTGTTGCCCTTGCCTCCTCTTGTGAGAAAAGTTTTTTCCGAGGCTAACCCTGTTCTCGCTTAATTGCAAATGCTGTGGTGTTGGTAGTTTTCATTTTATTGTGCTACCTAATGCTCGCCACAGATCTCACATGGGGGTACTTCAGAAAGCTCATGGAAAATGGAATTGAAACGTTTCTTTTTCCAAAATTTACAGTTTAAAAACAAATGCATGACATGAGAAAGACATGGATTTCAAAATTTTGTTGCATCGAAATAAATTTACCTTTTAATTGCATTTTCCAGAGACTTTTTGAAGTGCTTTGTATATTATGAGCAAATGCTGTCATCAATAATTATTTCCTTAAAGTAAAATCTCACCAATGGAAGTGAGTCGATAAGAAAAGTAATCTTAAGAGATTTGACGCATCTCACCGTATCACCCCCAAGACGAGCTCTGGTAACTGACAGTTCTCCTCAGAGTTTGAGAGTTCCCTTCCCACTCACCTTTTCCCCCAGTGGATACTGGAGTGTTTCAAAAGCCAGATATAGGTAAAACTTCGTCTTTTAGATTACATTTTTCTGGATTACTCCTGAAGCTGAACATTCTCTCATTATGTTCCATTCTCTTGTAATAAAGGTTGCTATGGAGCAGTGTGAATCTAGCCTATTTCTCCTTATAGTGAGTCACTTGATAACTTTTGCCTCAATTCCCAAAGGATTCTTTTTTAACACTGAATTCAAGTAACTTTAACAGAGAATGTCCTATTCTTACCTATTGTATTATCACTTTGACCTGCATACAAAGTGTTGTTTCACATAAGTTCTCCCTATTTCGAGAGCATTTTCGTAAATCCTGTTTCAATGACTTAATAAATTCTTTCTAAGAATGTTGCCATTATGCATGCTTTGAATCTCATGCAGTCCATTCACTTTTGTGTGAAGTCCAGGGCCGCTGAAGAACCTCTGACAGAAAGGATAAATTATCAGCATTAAGTTTCCTCGTTTTTGTCCCATGCTGATGCACTGTAGGTTCCAAGCAGTAAAGAGATCGTTAGCTCGTTCCGGGGACCAGTCCCTCCACCGGCTACCCGCACTGGAATCCTTCGAGCCCAGCAGCAGGCAGGGCAGATGCAGGCTGCCGGGAAGAGTGGCCAGGCCTTTGCTGCTGCCACTTCAGAACACAGGAAGAGTGCGTTTGCCTGTCCAGCCTCCCAGACTCGGAGGAAAGGTTTGGGAAATCCTTCTTTTTGGATCACTCATTTAAGAAACAGGATTTAATTTTAATTTTTAAAATATTTCTTATAAGGTACCTATATTAGCAGTTACGGTAAAGTAAATGACAGTTTTAGGTGAAATGATACAGTTGACATGATCTTTAAGTATTTACTGTTGGCCGGCGCTGCGGCTCACTAGGCTAATCCTCCGCCTAGCGGCGCCGGCACACCGGGTTCTAGTCCCGGTTGGGGCGCTGGATTCTGTCCCGGTTGCCCCTCTTCCAGGCCAGCTCTCTGCTGTGGCCAGGGAGTGCAGTGGAGGATGGCCCAGGTGCTTGGGCCCTGCACCCCATGGGAGACCAGGAAAAGCACCTGGCCTCCTGGCTCCTGCCTTCGGATCAGCGCGGTACGCCGGCCGCAGCGCGCCGGCCGCGGCGGCCATTGGAGGGTGAACCAACGGCAAAGGAAGACCTTTCTCTGTCTTTCTCTCTCACTGTCCACTCTGCCTGTCAAAAAAATAAAAAAAAAGTATTTACTGTTTATCCATAAATTGTATGCAACAGATAATACTCATATTTTATAAGTACTCTTAAATGCAGTAAAGTTGCTTTATAATCTTAGCTAAATTTGTTCTTAGCTATATTGGGCTTGTTTGGGGGAATTTTCTTATGTTTTTGAATTTTGTTTTCTTCAAGAAAAGCATGCATATTTTAAACCTAAAAGGAATTTTGAAAATGTTGAACCAATGATTTGAATAAACCTTAATCATAAAATATCATTAAAATTTACCTTTTTTTTTTTCTTGTTCACTCAAACTTCTTAGAAAATTCCTTCACATCAAACAGCATTCAGCTGGACATGGCTCTTTCAAAGGAAAATCCATCTGGAAAAACATGCAAATCGCATATTCCTGTGAGAAGCATTGCTGCTTTTCCTGTGAAGGTATCATGACCTAAAGCGGACCACAAAAGCTTCGTGTCATCATTTCCTATGTATATGGAGTCCCTGAAAGTGTGCCTATGTTCTTCTTTCTGAAGATCCCGAACTTGGATAAATGTCAGACCCATTGGAGAGAAATATCAACATTTTATAGGTTATCACATTATACTAGTTATTTTTATTTTTTGAAAAATATTTTGTTTTTGCTATCCATGGAAATATTAGGCATCTTTTATGCCTAAAAACTTCTTTGATACTTTTTTCAAAAATGTTTCACATTGAACTATACCTTTGAACTATGTCCAGTGAGTGTGTGGGGTGTGTGTGTGTGTGTGTGTGCGCGTGCGTGAGAGAGGGAGGGAGGGAGGGAGAGAGGGAGAGAATAACACCATCAGTGATAGGACAGTGTAACTTCATTTTCCCTGTACTTGTGTCAGTGATTTTTTTCTCCCAAATATTTTGTAGCAGAAAACTACCTGCTGGTGTTCTCCCTCACCCCATTTTTTAATGATTTTGTTTTGTGTTATTTTGTTGTTGTTGTTATTTGTGGCGCTAGCATTGTGCACAGCCATTAGGCTGTCATTTGGGAGGCCTGCTTCCCATGTTAAGTGTCTACTTCAAGTCCCAGCCACCCCACTTCTGATCCACTTTCCTGCAAATCTGCCTGGAAAGGCAACAGGTGATGATGGTTCAAGTACTTGAGTCACTGCCACCCATGTGGGAGACCTAGATGGAGTTCCTGGCTCCTCATTTTGGCCTGACCCATTTATTTGGAAAGCAGAGAAACAGGGAGAGAGATCTTCCATCCACTGGTTCATTCCCCAGTTGCTCAAAATGGCGAGTGCTGGGCCAGGCTGAAGTAAGGAGCCATGAACTTCATCTGGGTCTCCTTTGTGAATGGCAGAGACACAAGTGCTTAAGTCTTCATCTGCAGCATCCCAGGATGCATTAGCAGCAAGCTGGATTGGAAGCAGAGAGCAGCACTTGAAATCTGATATGGGATGCAGGCATCTAAGCAGCAGCTTAACCTGGTACACCCCAACAACTGCCTTTTTTTTTTTTTTTTAAGATTTATGTATTTACTTGAAAGAGTTACACAGAGAAGAAGAGGCAGAGAGAGCAGTCTTCTATCTGCTAGTTCACTCCCAAGGTGGTCACAACAGCTAGAGCTGTGCAGATCCCACATGGGTGCAGGGGTTCAAGGACTTGGGCCATCTTCCACTCCTTTCCCAGGCCATAGCAGAGAGCTGGATCAGAAGTGGAGCAGCCAGGACTCAAACCGGTGCCCACAAGGAGGCCAGCACTGCAGGCAGCGGCTTTATCTGCTACGCCACAGCGCCAGCCCCACAACTGCCTTTCTAAAATGTCTTTGCACAACAAGGAAACAACTACAGACATGTAGTGTTGGCTTTTTTTGTTTTCCAAAACTCATTTCAGAATGTTCATTAACTCATTCCAGAATGCTCATAGTGTTTACCAAGTCCTGTAAAAGAAAACAGTAAAATTGTTTTTCATTGGGATCACTTTAATATTGAGTATATACAAGGTTCCCATAAATTTTAAGTTCAGATGTTTTTTTAATGATGTACGTGAAAAACAGTAGGGTGTATTAATTTAAGGAAGAAAGAAAGACTGTGAACTTAGCTGGATGTTGGTCAGAAGACCAAACCACAGCTTAAGGGAGTGCAGTTAGCTGATTAGTAGGCTGCAGTGTTATCCGTGCAGGTAGTGGAATGAGGACTCGGCCATTTCACTCCTCCCTTTTGTGGGTGTATATAATTTTATACCTTGTATATGTTCTACTTCTTGTGAACTTAAAACTTGAAATGATTTCTCCATTTTGTTAAGAACTTAGTATACATTTTTTTTATCCTTGGTACACATGTTAAACTGAAACATGAGCTCTTCTTTAATCCACAATTCTTTATTTAACAAGATGCCAAAATACACAGTGGCTCATCGGAAGTGGACTTCAGTGACATCCGAGTCCTCTAAAGTCCCTGATGAAGTCAGACAGCGCTATGTCAGTCTCTTTGTGGAAAGGTATCTGGACGTTTGTCAGACAAAGGATGAGGCTCTTAACAAGGTCAGTTTGTAGTGCATAATGTAATTTATTGAAGGCACACAACTTGGAAACTACAAAAATCCACATAGACTATATAAGAATTAGAAAGCAATGGGGACTGAGGCTCACTGGGCAGAGTATGTCCCATTTATAGAGCCGTAGACACTCTGATTGAGGTCAATTCAGTTTTTCCTGGGGATCAAAAAAGAACCGTAACTGGATGCCACTGGAAAAATATTTCAGATCATATGAGGAAGACTCTTGTAACAAATATTCTGTCTGTAATACAGCTGCTTTGTGAGGTAGTGGACTGGCAATTGCTAGAAATGTTTGGAATGTTTTTCTACATCCTCACCAACACTTGTTTCTTTCTGACTTTTGTTAGTAGATGTTAAATGGTATTTAGCTGTGATTTTTTAATTATTTCTCTAACAACTAATGACATTAAACATATTTCCGTGTGCTTATTAGTTATGTCTTTGGAGAAATATCTACTCAGATCCTTTGCCTGATTTCTGAATAGCCTCATTGTTGAGTTGCTAAATTCTTTGTAGGTTTTAGATAAAACATTTGCAAATGTTTTTCTTCTCAGTGAATTGCATCATTTGTAGCACAGAAAACTTTTCATTTTGATAAATTCCAACTTACTGTAAATTGCTATTGTTTGTGTTCTTGGTGACGTATCTTAAGAATCCAGGATCGCTAAGATTTATTGCTATTTTAAAAAGTTTTAGACTTAGAGTAGACCAAATATTTAAAAAGCTCAAAGTTGAATTTTTTAATAAGGTAGGAGGTAGGGGTCCAACTTCATTCTTCGGGATGTGGATATCTACTTGTCCATTTGTTGAAAGGGCTTTGCTTTATCCCATTTATCTTGTTACCTTTGTAAAAAATCAATTGACTGAAAATACATCTGTAAATGGTAATAAATTCTTGACTCTAAGTTCTGTTCCTTTAATCTCTAACTTTAAACCATTCTATATAGTCTGAATTACTGTAGCTTTCTATAATGAAACTGCAAAGTATGAGTCCTCCAAATTTTATCTCTGGTACTTCCATATACATTTTAAGATCAGCTTGTTATGTTCTTCAAAAAATAGGATTTTGGTTGATGACATTAAAACTTTAGATCAGTTTCTAGAAAACTGCTGTCTTAACTAAGTCTTATGAATCATAAGCACAGATGGCCTTCCATTTATTTAGATCTCTAATTCTTTTTAAGAATGTTTTGTAGATCTGAGTACACTCCTCAAACTTTTCAAGTTTTCCCTTGGTATTGTGATCATTACACTATTGTTAATAGAACTAGTTTCGTAATTTTATTTTGAGATAGTTCATTGCTGGAGGGTAAACTTAATTGATCTTTGATACTGTATCTTGAAAACTTGTTGAACTTTTTATTCATTTTCATAGTCAACTATAGAAAATCCTAAGGAACCTGCTGACTATAGAAACCGTAACTATAGAAAACCCTAAGGAACCTGCTAAGCTGATGTTGTGTGTGAATGGAAATAGTTTTATTTCTTCCTTTTGAATCTGGGTACTCTTCTGTTTACTTTTTCTCATCAAATTTCCCTAGCTCAAAATGGCAGTAAAATATTGAATAGAAGTAGAAAGAGATGACATCCTTGATTTGTTCCTGATCGTAGGGGAAAATCGTTGAGTTTTTCTCTGTTCAGTGTGTTATAACTGTGGGATTTTTAAATTTTATATCAGAACTTTATTGGTTGAGACAATTCCCTCCCATTGCTAATTTGCTGAGTGTTTTAGCATGTTCTCTTCATCTGTGGAGCTGTCACGTAGGCTTTGTCTTTTATCCTCTTAATACGTACACACACTGATTTTCAGATCAACTTTGCATCTAACCTTTCCTTTCTTGGATAGAACTTTGGCCATGGTGTAAAATCATTTTTCATGTTTATTCCAATACCAGTATTTTGAAATGTTCATTTATGTGAAAAGCAGAGAGCAGACGTGTTATATATTAATGTTAGCCGTTGGAACACACCGGACACCGGAGTAAGGGAAAGGGTTTATTGGGGAACACCCAACAGACCGGAGTGAAGGGGTGGCGAAGGAAAAAGAGAAAGAGTATAAGAGAAACAGAGAGGAGAGGAGGTAGCAAGGAGAGAAGAGAGCAGAGAGGAGCTGAGAGAGAGAGCCAAGAGACCAGAGGAGGAGGCTAGAGAGAGGAACCGAGAGAGGACCAAGAGAACAGGAACAGGCCCTTTTAAAACTTCGCCTGAGGGCGGGCAGGGAAGCAGGAGCAGCGAATCCCATTAGGATGGGGGTGGAGCCTGGCTCAGGTAGCTGGGCCATGCAGCCACCTGGCTAAAACTGCGCCAGTTTCCTGCCAAGACGTGCTTCAGAGTACACATGTCCATCTGCTGCTTTAGTCCCCAATTGCCTGCAACAGCTGGGGCAAGCCTGGAGCCAGGAGCCAGGAGCTGCAGCTGGATGTTTTACTTCAGTGGTGGGGACCTAACTACTTGAGCCAGCATCTGCTGCCTCCCAAGGTGCATGAATAGAAACCCAATCAGAAGGCAGAGGTGAGACTTGATCCTAGGCGTGCTGATGTGGGATGAGGGCATCCCAAGTGGTGACTTAACGAGCTGTATCACAGTGCCCACCACCCCCCCCCCCCCCCGCCCAGTATTTTATTGAGGATTTTTGTTTTGCTGTTCTCTGGAGATCCTAGCCTGTAGTTTCCTTTCTTCGCCTTCATTTTCTTCCTGTTTTGTTGTTAATTTTTCATCACCAAAATTTATCATTTTAACTGTTGTAGGCATACAATTCAGTGGTATAAAATAAATTTACCATGTTGTGCTATTTTCACCTCTATCCATTTCCAAGCTTCTTTTTTTTTAAAAAATCATCCCAAACAAACTCTTGTATCTATTAAGGATTCTTCATTCCTCTCCCCTCCCCTGGTAACTTCTGTTCTATTCATACCTTCTGTTTCTGTGAATCTATCTATTCTGGTTACCTCATAATTGAAATTATACCAGATTTGTTCTTCTGTGTCTAATTTTTCACTTGGAATAACGCTCTCAAGATTTATCCATGTTACAGTGTCATTCCTTTTCACAGCCAAGCAATATTTCATTGGCTCTGATTGCCACATTTTCACTATCCATTCATCTTTTGATAGATTGTAGTTTTCTTTGTAATGCTGTCGTTGTCTATTTTATTAATTTTTTTGGGCCTCAGGATTATATTAGGTTAAGAATACATTGGAAACTGTTCCTCCTCTTTTCATCGTTTGGGAAGAGTTTGTGGATGATTGTTCGAATATTTGTGAGAATTTATCAGTGGGGTCTGGATTTTTCTTTGTGGGAATTTTAAAATTGATTTATTTGAGGTTGTTCTTGAGTTAATTACGGGACTTTTGGCTTTTCTAGGATTCTTCCCATTTTATCTAAGTTGTTTAACTTGTTGGCGTACAGTTGTTTATAAAACTAATCTTCTGTCGGTTTTGTAGCAATGTTCTTTCCCCCCTCATTTTTGGCTTTAGTGCATTGAGCCTTCTCTCTTCTTTCTTGGTCAATCCACCTCAGATTTTGTCAGTTTTGTTTATCTTCTCATAGAACCAACTTTAGATTCTTTACTGTTTTTCTAGTCTTTTTTATCCCACTCTAGTCTTTATTGTTTAATTTCTTACTTCTTAGGGTTTTCTCTTAAAATTCTAGTGGACAGTAATCCTTTTATGAGCTCTGATAGAAAAATGGTAGTTACTGAATGGTTCTAGGGAAGTAACTTCCATAGAAAAAAGACAATGAAAAGGATTGTGTGTGATCTTAAGCAAATATTTAGCTACTTTGGACTTCATTGTCCTTATTTTTTTTAAATGGGTTTTACAACATGTGCCTCTGGTATATTCAGTGCTTGCCTTGAGAATTGAGTGAGTTCATGTGTGCTGTAAGCTTTGTTTAGGTTTTGTGCCATGCACTCTATCCAAATACACAGTGGTCTTTGGTCTATGAATAGCATATCTGGTTCTTGGGTCAGATTCAAGGGACTTTCAACTCGTTTCTCCTCAAACTGCAAAAGGGAGACTAAGTTACTTTTAGTTGGTAGGCCATTTCTCTTATTCCTTGGGTTAGATAAATATTTTGTCATATTTACCCATTATATTAAAAATGATATTTATTTATAGATTCTAGATTTCATATTCTCAATTATTCCATTTGTGATTTAGGCTAAAATAGAAGAAAAAGCTATATATGAAAGATGTGGCAGTAGAAATATGTATGTGAACATAGCAGTGAATACTCTGAAGAAGCTAAGAGAGCAAGGTAATTTCTTTTCAATTTAATTAACTAATGATATGATTAGGACCTGACAATGTGTTTTCTTAGGGTAATTTTTGGATCTTTAGTGGAATGCATTGTAAAATATTCTCTTTAGCAGAATGTGTAGGTGGCACTTTAAGTTGAAAATTTAGACTTCCAATTGGACATATAAATAGAACCTCATTGACAAGGATTATCACTGAATTATTTAAATTTGTATTTTGGTTATAAAAGTAACTTACCTCCATAGGAATAGTACTTCAAAAGCTGTTTTTATTATAATCCCCCTAAGAAATCTTGGACATTGTTTTTTTCCTAACACAACCCCTGCCTCCATGAAATTAAGGAATAAGGCATAAAATTTTGTCTTATCAGTAAAGTTGAGATATGGAGAGCCAAGTATCTTCATTGTCTGAGCTACTTTTCATTCCTCGAGCAGTTTCACCCTTTGGGGGCAATCTCAGCCCCATCAAGCATGCATGATGTGAATTCAAATAATACAGAAAACCATAAAGAATGAAAACCTATAAAGACAACTTTCTTCCATAGTCACATGTTTTTAAAAAATACTTATTTATTGGAAAGACAAAATGACAGAGGGAGACACAAAGAGAACAAAATCGCCCACTCACTGGTTCATGCCCCAAATGGCTGCAATGACTGTGGCTGGCCCAGGCCCAAGTCAGGAGCCAACATACTTGAGTATTTTATACAGACCCCTCTGTACGTGACTAGAGAGATGCATGTAATTTTAATATTTTAGTAAATATTTTGTTTTTTATCCATCTAGAATTTATTAATATCTGGCTCTACATCATACTTTTTGATGATTGCAAAATTCCTTATTGCACTGAGCCTATTCTGTACATATTCCATTCTAAAGACATTATAATGTAAATGAACCAAACACATTTCGGTATTTACAATGCTTACTTTTTTTGTATGATAAATTCTGTGATAAATACAAGGATACCCCAAATATTTGTGGAAAATGGGATTAAAGATATGTCTTTTGAAACAAAAATTTAAGTATATACATATGAAGTAAAAAATTTCATGAAAAATGTATATCATGAAAACTATGCAGATGATTTGCAATTTTTTTGCATGAAAATGCAGTTATCTTAATTCCGTCTTGTACAAACATTTTGAAGTATTTTTGTCAAAGTGTTAACACTGTGATTTCATGCTACCTTAGCATATGCATCCTTAGTGTAAATCCCATACCTAGAGAAGTTGGGGGAAGGGTCCACATGTGTGGTACAGTGGTACCTGCATTTTGATTCCCCTCCAGGGAGGGGGAAGTATATGGAGTCTTTTCCTCCTCCTATCTTGCCAAACTTTTTAATTTATTCAAAGAGAATATAGGTTAACTTCTTTTAATTACTGGTAAAGTTGAGGGCCTTTTTGTGTGTGTGTGTGTGTTTTTTTTTTTTTTTTTTTTTTTTTTGATAGGCAGAGTGGACAGTGAGAGAGAGAGACAGAGAGAGAAAGGTCTTCCTTTGCCGTTGGTTCACCCTCCAATGGCCGCCGCTGCAGCCGGCGCACCGCGCTGATCCGATGGCAGGAGCCAGGATCCAGGTGCTTTTCCTGGTCTCCCATGGGGTGCAGGGCCCAAGCACCTGGGCCATCCTCCACTGCACTCCCTGGCCATAGCAGAGAGCTGGCCTGGAAGAGGGGCAACCGGGACAGAATCCGGCGCCCCGACCGGGACTAGAACCCGGTGTGCCGGCGCCGCAAGGTGGAGGATTAGCCTATTGAGCCACGGCGCCGGCTTTTTTTTTCTCTTTAAATTCGCTCCTGGCCTCCTTCCTGCCCCCCTTTTGTGTGGCTTGTTCACCTGGGACAGCTTTTGCATCTTGCTCTTCTAATGTACTGCAAATACTTCCCCAGTTTGGCACTTGTACTACAGTCTCCTTGAAGAAGTTCTTGAAATATAGAAGTTGGCAAGGTGTAGTCAGGCTCTGTGGTTTTCATACCTAGGTTTTGTGTCAGGAAGACTATTTATTCATCAAAAATATAAAAGGCATTCCTGTTTGATTTCTATATGGCATATTTTATATACAATAATTATTTAGACAAATGTATTAAAATATGCAAGGTCTATCAGGTTAATAATTTCATAGTAATTAAGCTTTCCTCCTTTTCAAATATAGCACATAGAAATAAAACATAAAGATACAACTATCAATTTTCAATACCCCAGTGAAATTAGAAATGGTTTTTATGTTAAAATTGTGGAAAATTGTGATATACAACTCACTGATGCAAATTTACACATACTTTATCCAAAATACAGGACATAATTTTGAGCACATACAAAATCACAGGTCTGTTAATAGTTCATTAGATTTAACTTTTTTCCCTGCTTGAAATTGGTTTCTAAAGATGTTTGGTCTCTTATGTTGGCTACTTGTTTCATGTTGACTAGTTAACGTAAAAATATTTTACTATGCTATAGAACTTTTAATGTTCCATGTTTTTATTAAATAGACAAAATAATTCTTTATTTTTAGAGGAAATATCTTGTGTTTTCTAGCTATGTCTGGAAGCGGTAACAGTGAGACAACTGGGTTTCAAAAGTGTGAGAAGAAAAATGGTGAGCTTATTGTAGCAGTAAGAGGTTTTTGTGATTGTTTCCTTAAGGGCGAAGTAAAACTGGTGCAATTCAGTTATTAAACTGTCGATGAAAGGTCAGCTGTATATGATGCATATTTCATATTGTTTTAAAAGTTAGAATATATAGGAAAAGAAAGAGTACTTTTCTTTAAGCAATATAGGCATTGAATTCTTAACTTTTTCTTTCTTTGACAGTTAACAGAGTCTGTGGAGTAGTATCGATGCTTCTCAGACTCTGAAACTCAATGTGCATTTCAATTATCTGAGAATTTTGTCAAAATGAAAATTCTGGTTCACTAGGTCTAGGAAGGCCCTGAATCCCACAATTTAAAATAAGCTCCCATAAGCAAGAAGCCAGAAAAAAGGAATAATTTGTTGGTTTATTTGATTAAATAAAGCCAAACTACAGTGCTTCTCCTCTATAAAGCCTTCAATATAAGAACGAACATGGGCTGATACTGTAGCGCAGCAGGTTAAAGCCCTGGTCTGCAGCAATTGCACCCCATATGGGTGCCAGTTTGACTCCCAGCTGCTCTATTTCCAATCTAGGTCTCTGCTGTGGCCTGGAAAAGCAGTAGAAGGTGACCCAAGTGCTTTAGTCCCTGTAACCAAGTGGGAGACCTGGAGGAAGCTCCTGGCTTCAGATTGGCACAGCTCTAACCATTGCAGCCACCTGGGGAGTGAACCAGCAGAGGAAAGACCGACCGACCTCTCTGCTCTGCTTCTCTATTTGAAAGACAGTTACTTTTTTTTTTTTGGGCAGGCAGAGTGGACAGAGAGAGAGACAGAGAGAAAGGTCTTCCTTTTCCATTGGTTCACCCCACAATGGCCGCTGCGGCCGGCGCACTGCGCTGATCTGAAGCCAGGAGCCAGGTGCTTCTCCTGGTCTCCCATGCGGGTGCAGGGCCCAAGCACTTGGGCCATCCTCCACTGCACTCCCAGGCCACAGCCGAGAGCTGGACTGGAAGAGGAGCAACCAGGACTAGAACCCGGTGCCCATATGGGATGCCGGGGCCGCAGGCAGACGATTAACCAAGTGAGCCACGGCGCCAGTCCCCCTGCTACAATTTTTAAGAAGAATTTTCTAAGACTTTTTTTTTTTTTTTTAAATTTATTTGAAAGGCAGAGAGAGAGCTTCCATCAGCTGATTGACTCCCCAAAATGCCTGCAATGGCCAGAGCTGGGCAGATCCAAAGATAGGAGCTTCTTCCAGGTCTCCCATGTGGGTGCATGGAGCCAAGCGCTTGGGCCATTTTCCACTACTGTCTTGGGCACATCAGCAAGGAGCTGAATCAGAAGCTGAGCAGCCAGGACTCCAACCACTGCCCACATGGGAGCCAACATCACAGTTGTGTATTTACCTGCCATGCCACAATACTGGCCACTTAGAAGAAATCAGAATATTTTAAGAGAATAGACCCGAGAAAAGGAATCCTTAAACTTGTACTCTTTTGCCAAGTGAGAGTTGTCAGGGTCCCCTTCATGGTCCATGCATGTGAGCTTTTGTAGTTGCCTTGCCAAGCATGACTTGGAACCAGTGGGCCTGGGTGTGCTGTCAACAGTGCTGTGTAACCTTGATCTCACACCTCTACTTGTGTGAGCCTCATTTTCCTCATCTGTAAAAATAAAACAATGCACTGGTCTGGGGAGTTAATGTAAGTCCTGTGCCCTGTGTGCACTGGCGATTACTGATACAATTCCTACTTTCCCTTCTCCCACTCGGAACATGATATCAGGTGGAACTGGGAACAATCTTGACTTCGTGTGGTGGTTGGATGATGGCTGTGGAGACCTGGAATTCTTTTAGGCCACTCCCTTACCAGCATTCACCCCAGAATCCTAGCATTTTTCATATTTGAGAGTATTGGTAGGCTCTAACCTTGCAACTGAATAAAAACATCTTTGAGTTTCACTGAACAGCTGTTCTTTTTTCCTTAGTGCTCACAGGAGTTACTCTGTACAGACATCTTAGAAACCACCTTCTAACTGAAGAACAGCTGCGTGAAAATAACTACCCTCGGCCCAACCCTGACAAACCTGGATGCGTTCTTTTAAATCCATGCATGACAAAAACTTCTGTAAATGATGGTAAGTACATGGAATTGAACATTCGCTTTTTCTCTGTGCTGTGACCCCAGGAGACCAGTGTCCTGATATTTCTTAGCAGAAATGAGATTTGTAGTCAGCATAATTAACCACTGATAAAAGCATTATTGCATTGCATTTGCCTTTCCATTTCACTTCATTTCCATTATCTATATGCTTCCTTTAATTTAAATGATCTGTTTTCTTGCATCCTCTTAGCAATCGCTTCAGGTCAGTACTGTTATTATCCCTAATTACACAAATGAGCGAAGTGACACTCAGCAAGGTCAGATAACTTGTCATAGGTCGCTGAGAAAATAAGTGGGAAAGTCAGAACTGGGACCCAGGGGCTCCAACTCCAGAGTGCCTACTTGTAGCCATATTCATACACATGTGCCGTGACATGTGAATAATACATGCCCTGACAACATGAGTGCTCTGAAAACATTTATGATGTCTTACTTTAGGTTGTGTTCAGGCACCAGGCATTGTACACTAAAGTGTTCACTGAGAACAAATGAATGCTTTACATCAGAATTGTCAAAGCTCAGGGTGATGACCAGAGTCTGAAATGCTATTACGAAGATATTGTTCAGGGATTAGAAGATATTCATTCTGCTTTTGTATTTTTGAAACTTCCCCCTGGGAATTTTTGCTTCATCCTTTGAAATCCCTGAATGGAAGGCTGTATACTTAGCAGTTCAAAACATGGGCTTTGAAGGAAGTCAAGGAAATCCAGGTTTGGATGCTGGAAAATTTATCCACTGTTCCCTTCAGCTGCCTCTATGAGTGGTGAGGATAAACCCACCAGATTGTTGTGAGAATCAATTAAAATAATGTCCATAAAGTGCTTGGCCCAGTGCCTGCCCTATGCATAGCCCAGTGTGGTGCTACAGCTGCCATTGTCTGGCATTGGCTTATCTCTGGGATTGAGCAGGTTGCTGCCTGTCTAAGCAGAGACGACCTTGGTACATAAGCAGGTACCTTGAACATTCTCCTTAGTCCTCCTGTGACTTGGAAACCTCCTGTGACTCTGATCACACAGGCTTTGTTCTTCCAATCAGATCAGAAATGCAAAGGGAGTCTCCACACTCAGGCCTGTTTTCTCCCTCATCAAGTCATGAATCCCTATACTTCCTGTTTGTTGTAGCTTCTAAGAAGATCTGCTGTCGATGTGGCAAAATATATGACGTGACTCCCTCGGGCAAACACAGTAGGGTAGAAGAATGTTACTACCACTTTGGCCAAGTACGAAGTCATAAAGGTAAGTGTTCGGGAGTTGTGTTTCATTTGTCTGGCAAGCCAGCAGGCAGGCTTGTTCAAAAGAAGTAGAACAAAATATTCCTTTCGGAATGTTTAACTGCAGTCCAGGAAAGAGAAACTAGTAACTGAAGTTTCAAGTACAAGTGTCGCCTGACCACCACTTCCTGTCTGTAACCTTGCCACTCACGGCTCAAGAGCTCTCAGGCTGTGAAAATTCCATTTTCCTAAGATCTCAAGGCAGCTGCCTCCTGATCTCGCCTCCTTTTCCCATACCAGCGTTACAGTAATGCCTTCGCTGATGGCTTCAATTCCTCGCCCTTCTCCTCCCACTAGGGCAGCTCCACTGCACTCAGAGGAAAACCCAAGCCCTGGATGGGCTGCATCGTTGCTTCTCTGGGTTTCTTCTCCTTAGTTTCTTCTTCGTGAAACTCGAGTCGGTAGCCTGTGCTCAGTTTGCTCAGTTCTCACTTGCCACCTGGGCCATTCCATGCAGCCTACTTCCATGGCCTCCCCTACCTTACTCGTCTTTCTGTGGATGATCTTGATGGACACTTTCCATGAGACTACACCAGCGTCTGAGGAATAAGACCCTGCTCTTCCCTCACAGAGTCACCAGCAGCTAAATCCTGTTTCCTTCTGGAATTACATTGGCGGAAGCATCCCTGTTTCTGTCGCCCTTGGTCCTCCCCAACGAAGTCTGTGTCCTGTCCCCCCTGCTCCTCCTCAGGAGCCCCTCCCTGGGAGAGTGGCTTGGTCTCAGCGTACCGTTCTGGTATCTCCCATTGGTTTCAACAAACAAACCCTCCATTGCTCCCAAGTCTCCTGTGTAGCCACTCTCACCTCTCCGGCAGTTGCACTTCATCGTTGCTTCCAAGAGCTGCCTACCCAGGCTGGCTTCACTCCCCCACTGAAGCTCACGTCAGTGACCTGCAGGCTACCAAAGCTAAGGGACCCGTTTCTCCTTGGCTTTGCTGCCTTCTCGGCAGTGTCCGCTTACAGTGCACTCCTATCTCAGGTAGCAGCCCTTTCTGCCTTTGTGTCTCCCTCCTTTCAGCCTCGTCTGCTAACCACGCCTCCACACAACCTCTGATGTGAGGGATTCTCAGAGGCGGGTTCTGGGACGCTTGCTTCTTCCTCCATCCCCTCTACCTGGACAAACTCCTCATCTTCCGTGGCTTTAAATCACGCACGTTTCTGTCGGCCCTCAGGTATGTGTCTCTAAAGCACTTCTCTGGACCCCAGGCTTTGCTGTGGGCCGTCCACAGGCACCTCAAGCAATTCTGAGTGAAGACGATTTCTTGGTCCCCCTCTCCATCCTTGGGTCTTTTCAACATAGTGAATTCCCTCCCTCCTGTCCACTCAGGTGTATTTTTCGCCACTCAAGCCAGAAAGCCAGGGCCATGTTCATTGCCTTCTTCCTGTGGAGCTCTTCTAGCCAAATCGGCTTGTTCTGTCTCCACAATCTGTCTGAACCTGTTTCCTCCCCACCTCTACTGCTGCTCCCTGAGTGCACCCTTGTCTCTGTGCTAAGCTACTGCAAAGGCCTCCTTGTGGGTCTTGCTGCTCTGCACTGCCCTGTTCTCTCTCCAGCATCCTCTCTCTGACATATTTTTTCACCCAAAAGCCACCAGAATAGTTTTTTGTTTTGTTTTACATCATTTTTACTGGTATCATTCTCTCCTGCTTCATTTAAAACTCCTCGGTGACTACGCCTGATCTGCATTCTGCCTGTGGACTTTATGTCACTATCTTCCTAACTTCTGGCCCCTTCTCCAGAGCCTTCTTTGCAGCTGCCACTTCTGCTTTTCACTTGACTGGTTCCTCTCATCCTTTAGGTCCCTCAACATCATTTCCTGAAGTTACTATTTAAAATAATCTCTCCCTCTCCATCTCCCTCCCTCTCTTCACTTACTTGACAGGCAGAGTGGTAGAGAGATCTTCCATCTGCTGGTTTTGTGCAGCAAAACCAAATGGCTACAACAGCTGGGGCTAGGCCAGGTTTAGAAGCCAGGAACCCCGTGTCCATGTCTTGCATGTTTGTGGCAGGAACGCAAGTACTTGAGCCATCATGCACTGCTTCCCAGGCATGTAAGCAGGAAGATGAATTGAAAATGGAGTACCTGAGACTGGAACTGGCTTAGCCCACTGCACCACAGGGCCTGCACCAGGCCTCTGTGCTGTAGTGCATCATCCTATCACTTCCTTCCCTTACACCAAAATACACTGTGTGGTGATGGAGGAATCGATTGTCTGCCATCTGTAGAAGACTGTAAGCTTTTGGAGGGACCGTCCATTTTTTTTCTTGTTTCCCTAGTACTTAGTGTGGTGCCTGAAATCAATAAATGTTTGGATTAATGGGAGGAATTACTTACAAGGACTTGGCCATAAGTACTGAAGATATTGTCATAAATCCTATGAATAAAACAAAGTGTGGGAAAGTAAATAGATACAGTGGGAGAAAAATAATATAAACAAGACAAGTTTGATCTATTTTTAAGCAAAGATGTTTACTTTGGGGACATCAGGGACTATGGATTCCAAGGAATAATCAGAAGAAAGACACTAAAGAAAACTAAGTATAACTGACCGAGCAGTTGGGCCAATGGGGCTATGCAGAACAATAAATCGGGGACTTTGGAGATAGCAGATCCATGATTTGGAGCTGTTCTGGCACCTAATTTTTCTGGCCAGCTTAACTATGCTTCTTCTAAGCTTTTCTTACCACATTCACAGAAGGGGCTAGCCATTCAATGAGCTGATGTGTCATCAAATCCCTGGCGTGCAATGAATGTTCTCTTAATACTGTCTCTTTTCTCATCACAAAAGAAAATGATATGAGGCTGTGGGATGTGAAGATTGGGTGAACAGGTTGGTTAAACAAGAGTCTCCAATGCCAGCCTGAGAAACTTGCATTTGATCAGTGACCATAAGTGAACATGAGGATGTGTAGTACTGAGGAAAGTGATAATGAAAATGCACTTTAGAAATACCAGTTTAACATTTTATAGAAAAACTAGTGCAGAGACAACTGGAGGCAGAGGGATTTGTTAGGGAGTGTTGGGAGCATCCTGCCTTGGGCTCACAGTGGATGAGAGCCTAAATAAGAAGGATGATGACAGGCATTTGTTGTGGTACAGCAGGTGAAGCTCCCATTTAGGACACCTGCTTCTCCATTTGCAGTGCCAATTCAAGTCCTGGCTACTGCACTTTTGATCCAGCTCTCTGCTAATGCACCTGGGAAGCAGCAGAGGATGGCTTATGTCCTAAAATCCCTGACATTCATGTGGGAGACCCAGATGGAGTTCCTGGTTGCTGGCTTCAGCCTGGCTGAACACCAGGTGTTGCAGCCATTTGGAGAGTGAATCAACAGATGGAAAATCTGTCTTTCTGTGTTTGCCTCTGTCATGCTGCCTTTCAAACAGATTTTTTTTTTAAATGGATGATGGGAGAAGGTTAAGAAAGGAGATGGGCAGATTGGAGTTACTGCTGTGAAGAGTGTGCAGAGTTGCTGACCAAGGATGTGAAAGAAGGCATTGGCATTTGGAAGGTCTAGCCTTTCAGTGGGTGCAACTCAGTGACTTTTCTGGGATATTGGAGGGGGATGGTGGTTATTGGAGCCAGTCATCCAGAGGGTCCCAGCAGAGAAAAGGTCAGGGAACAGGAGCTGATGCTGAGAGGAGACTTGAAAGGGTTTGACTGTGAAGGCAAGGTAGGAAAATGAAGTGAGGCCAGAATGAAGCAGATAGACAAGGGACAGTTGTGGGAGAGAGGGGAGGAGAGTCCATGACATTGGCTATTACAATAAACCTTCTAAGCACAGCCCTTAAGAACTCTGCTTACAGTTGTAAAGTTTCCCTGTTCATCATGCACTATCTGAAAATATAATTTTAAGGGTGGTAACATTAGAACACATGCATGACGGAGTCCTTAATGATCTCTGGTACGATGTGACAGTGTGCTCTGGGGTGTTCGTCAATCTACTTTGTAAAGCTGTCTTGTTTGGACTCTGACTTTTTTTTTTAATTGGTTTGCAGTCCTTGATGGCTTAGAATCTCGATACAGCTGTTGTGGAGGAGTGCTTGGATCCCCTGGGTGTCAGGAGTCCAAGGTATGACTTGTCAGCCAGAATGCTGCTTGTTTTAGAACTTGAGCTGCCACCTGCAGCACAGACCCTGGTGGCTGCTAATTTTCAGGTGTTTAAATTTGAATGAACTCAGCTGCACTTGTGAAAAACAGTAATTTATTTGGCAATGTTTGTTTTAGCTTCATGTTCATGACCAAAAAGAAAACCTAGAGGGTTTTGTGAAGACTTCCGTCAAAATCCCACCTGCTGATGGTAACTATGGCGTGTTTGCAGTAAATTGTGAGATGGTACGTTGGTCTTACATTTTACCTTGTCTGAATAATGATGGTGGAAAGATAGTACAGCAGTCTACCTGCCATAAACCTTTGAGTCTTAGCATTCAATCACACATAGCTCTGCAGTGTTACTTCACATATTGTCCTATGAAACAAAGGAAACTGAGGAGAGTTAGGTGACTTGGCCAAGTTCAGGTACATAGTCGGTGCTGGGGCCAGGACTTCGCTCTTGACCCCCTTTGTGCGAATTTTTCTTTATGTATAATCACTAGCAGTTCTGTTCAACAAATTGTTGAAATTACATGGGTGGAAAATGTTATGAATATTGCATTTTTAAAACAAGATTAGCATAAAAGTTTTAAATACTGAAAAATCATTGTGGAGACAGTAAAACCTTTAAGAGTTTCTCTCCCTTCATGTAAGAATCAACACAAATGGGGTGAGGGTGGTGGAAGCAGAATTTGGAATCATGAGAGCTGGGAAGTGCCAGTACTTAAAGTTGTGACACCCCCTCCCCCCATCCCCAGCAAGTCTCCTAGATGCTCTAAGCTGAGAAAGACAGGATTAATAGCAACAACTTCACTTCACAGTGATTGTAAGTCTCAGACATGCTAAGACATGGAGAAGTGTTTGCCCATGTCAAACATCATGGCATAATCAACTGCAGCAAAACATTAAGTTTTGGTCCCCTGTAGTACATCTTGAAGACAGATTTGTGGAGCTTATAATAAAAGTAGGATAACACTGTTTCCATTTTTTAAGGTTATATCTTTACTGGAAGCAATTTATGTTGTCTCTGCTTGGGAAGTCAGTTGTTTTTGAATGCCACTTTACATAGCTACAGTGAATATTTTTTTCAACACATCTATCACTGTATTGTTTAACAGAGTAGCCACAAGTTACATGCAACTAAATTATAATTAAGTAAAGTTAAAAATTCAGTTCCTCAGTCACACTAATGTTTTCAGTGTTCAGTAGTCACAGATAGCTAGCAGCCATGCTATTGGACTGCACATAAATAGAATATCGGGTCTCTTCAGAAGGACCTGCTGAGTAGCACTGGTGTCTGATAAAAATAATTGCAAAGGCTAAGCCAAGAGAACAAAATGATTTTATCAGAAATACACCAACAAAGGAAAGAACTAAAGCTCGGAAATCCTTCATGTGATTCTCAGATACACCAACTGGCCTTTGCTAGCAAAACTAATAATGATTACCTTGTGTATTCTAGTTAGAAATATTCCTTTTAAATATCCCAGATATTCAAACGTGTACTTAACTTGATAACATAGATTCAGTATTGCCTCTCGAATAGTGCTATACAGTCAAAGGCTTGGAACTTACTCGAGTGACAGTGGTTGACTCCAGCTTCCAGATGGTCTGTGATACATTTGTGAAACCTGATGAAGAAATCATTGACTATAACACTAGGTATGTATTTTTAAAGGGGCTTTGTTTTTGAAACTGTAGAACTTTCAACACATAATTTATGTGAAGCTTTAGCTTAGGCACATTTATTTGGGTCTCCTTTAGAACGCGAGTTAGACTCTTTTCCTTTCATTCACTCACCAGCATTCACACTCAGTACCTAATGAAACCAGGCAGACACTGTGAGGCCCTGGGTTACACCTACATAAGTGTTCAAGGCTTCTGTCTTCATGGTAGTCATGTGTCTGTGGTGGGTGGGAGGCTAGAGAAATGGGCAAATGGTAATAGATGATATTATTCATTGAGTGATGCATCAGTTACTTGTCAAAATGTCATATTCCCAGAGGTAAAAATCTCTATTATAGAAATGATCCAAGTATATAGCTTTGATATGGTATACAAAATAACTGCTACAGATTCAATTTTATCATATGCCCTTAAGTTTTAAAAGCTTCATGTGAAACAGCAGTGATATAATTGATGAATTTTTAAATTGGGTTTCATAAAGGTATATACGTCATATAACCTGATATATTTATTTATTGAAATATAATATGGAAGGCACTGACCTTACTCTAGAGTGAACATTTGGAAGTGATCATTATTGGTATGATTATATTTATTGTTTAATTTACCTTAAATATGGAACTGTCTAATGGCACTTAAAATATCAGTTGCTTGTATAAACAAATGTGACTTCATAAAATACATGTACATCTATAAGTTTAGAATGTAAAGCAAGGAGATTATATAAACTAAAAATTGTTTTGATATTAACTATGTAGAATAATTATAGACAATTCTGTGAGGAAGCACTTTTTTAAACCTAAGTTTCCTCACAATTCAGAAAAATTGTTTAATTCCTAATGACTCAAGTGGCTATAGCCAGAAAATCAATTTTGTGTACTAGTTCCCAACCTCATTTTATTTCCTGCCCCCTTATTTTGACCAATACCATATTATCCCCATCTGTTAAACTCTTCTTGGTTTTTGTTTTTCCAAGAATTTAATTTGATGATCTCTAACTTCTTTTTGAAACAAGTCAAGAAATATTTTGGTAATTATTGATATTCCTAATGGCGAAATGAGAACTCAAGGGCTTGCATTACAAATTAAATAACCTGTAAATGTGAAAAAATCCTTCAAATGCATTTAATGCATTGCCTTCTTGAAAAAGTAATTTTAAATTAACCCATGCACTCATGTACTCCAGCCATGGTGACTTGCTCTTAATGTGAATATTTGATCAGCCATGTATCGTTCTGTAAACCAGATTACGGAGCAGGTATCCTGTATTCCTTATAGGCCATAGTATCATCTTGTTAAAGTTAAATACGTTTGCAGTACTCTTCTAGCAGTAGCCGTGTTTCTGAGCACTTACTTAGTGTGTGCTTTATGGAAGTATCACTAGAGAAGTCAGTTACTGCATGCGTTTTCATTGAGTCCCCATAAACTAGTAAGATTGGTAATCATCCTGATTTTACAGATAAGACTGAGACCAGATTGTTAAATGACTTGCTGAAAATAGTTGATAGTAAGCAAATGGCATAGATATAGCACAGTTAAAACCCAGGTCTCCCAGAGTCTGCCTACGGCTCACTTGCTCTTCCTGTCACCCGTGCTTCCCTTCAGACTGACTTGACTGGAGATAGGCTCATAACTAAACTACATTTGACAAATCTCAGGTGGTGCAAAGATCAGAGTTCAACAGGAGCTCATAACTGGTAATAATGTGTTTCCCCCTCAGCCTTACGTTATTAATCCAAACTATAAATTTTTAGCCCAGTAAATGGGTGGTTGAAAGTCATGCAAGTAAGATTTTTGGATTCTTGAGCCAGTTGTCACATTGGGTCAATAAAATGTTCTAACCGTGCCTGCTGAAATGCATTGAGTTGTGTTCTGTACTTAGATGCATCATGTGTTTTACATGGGGTAGGTTTTCTGGTGTGGTAGAAGATGACTTGAAGAACATTAGAACCTCCATCCGTGACGTGCAAGCCATCCTGCTGAACTTGTTTAGTGCAGATACCATACTAATTGGACACAGCTTTGAACAATGTCTGTATGCTCTTAAGGTAAAGAACTACAAACCAACATATTTTTACAAACTGTGTGTTAAGATGGTAGTCGTTATTGTGCTAGAATTGATATTTGGTTGCCCAGTTATCTAGGAAGTCAAGAATCATTGTCCATGCTAATGATCTAGTCTATCGCAAACCAGAAGCAGTGTGTGACAGCTCAAATAATTTGGTTAATCTAACTCAGAAAAACTGGACAGCAGTGGGCATTTGGTCTATCTGTTAAGGCGATGGTTAAGATAATACATCCCACACTGGAGTGCCTGGCTTCCTACCCAGCGCTGGCTCCTGACTCCAGCTTCCTGCTGATGCTAACACTGGAAGGCAGCAGACCAGGCTCAAGTAGTTGGGTCCATGCCATCCACGTGGACCGAGTTCAAGTTTCAGCCTGACTTAGCCGCAGTGGGTATTGATGAAGTGAAACAGTTCAGGACTTGGCTCTCTGTCATTCTGTCTTTCCCTTTCTCTCTGACTCTCAAATTTTAAAGGCTTTAAACCATAGGAGAGAGAATTGTCAGTCATCAAGAATGATACAACCAAAACCATTGTTTCTATAAACTTCTTTTAATAGTCAAGTATGAATAAGGCTAAATTTATATAATAGCTTACTTTCTTCACATACTCAGGTTATTTATTTTTTTACCTTGCCAGATAGGCTTATAGATAGGATCAAAATCAAATGTTACATTCCTTTTCTTGGCATGATAGACTTAAATTTCCCCCCACCCCGAATATACTCCAAGTTAGTTGTCATTTCGTTGCTCAGTGTTCTTGAGCAGAAGTGGGAAAATATATCCCATGGGCCAGCCACCTGTTTGTGTAAGTATTTTTATTGGAACAGCCACCACATCTGTTCCTCTACATATTGTCTGTAGTTGCTTTCACGCCACAGTTGCATTGTTGAGTAGTTGTGACAGAGGAGACCTATTGAGATAGACACTGTAGTCTGCAAGCTGAAAACATTTATTTAGTCTGGCATTTTAAGAAGAACTTTCCACCCCATTGTGGAACAGCACTATCAAGCAGAACTTTCTGTTTTGTATCTGTGCTGTACAGTATGGTAAACACTAGGCGCATGTGGCTGTTGACCACTAGAAAGGTGTCAGATGTGACAGGAAACTAATTTTTTTTAACTTTTATTTGATGAATATAAATTTCCAAAGTACAGAATATTGATTACAATGGCTTCCCCCCCATAACGTCCCTCCAACCCGCAACCCTCCCCTTATCCACTCCCTCTCCCCTTCCATTCATATCAAGATTCATTTTCGATTCTCTTTATATACAGAAGATCAGTTGAGCATACATTAAGTAAAGATTTCAACAGTTTGCTCCCACACAGAAACATAAAGTGAAAAATACTGTTTGAGTACTAGTTATAGCATTAGATCTCAATGTACAGCACACTAAGGACAAAGATCCTATATGAGGAGTAAGTGCACAGTGACTCCTGTTGTTGACTTAACAAATTGACACTCTTGTTTATGGCATCAGTAATCACCCTAGGCTCTTGTCATGAGTTGCCAAGGCTATGGAAGCCCCTGAGTTCACTGACTCTGATCATTTTTAGACAAGGCCATGGTCAAAGTGGAAGTTCTCTCCTCCCTTCAGAGAAAGGTACCTCCTTCTTTGATGACCCATTCTTTCCACTGAGATCTCACTCGTGGAGATCTTTCACTTAGGTTTTTTAATATAAGAGGGGGAATAAGAGAGGGAAGAGATGTGCAATTTGGGACATGCTCAAGCTGACTTACCTCAAACAGCAGAGTTAGAAACATACCAGGGGATTCGAATTCAATCCCATCGAGGTGGCATGTACCAATGCCATCTCACTAGTCCCAGTGATCAATTTCTGTTCACAATTGATCATAATGATAGGACTAAGAACCAAAGGGATCACATAAACAAGACTAGTGTCTGCAAATACTAGCTGATAGAATCAAAAAGGGAGAGAATGATCCAACATGGGAAGGGAGATACACAGCAGACCCATAGAATGGCAAATGTCCTAACAGAACTCTGGCCTCATAATCAGCCCTTAAGGCATGCAGATCTGGCTGAAATGCCCATGAGAGTATTTCAGGCATGGAAAGCCAAGACACTCGGCGGTGGGGGGGGGGGGGGGGGGGGCGGGGGGGCGGCGGGAAAAACCTAAATGAAAGGAAACTAATTTTAACAGCCTCTTGGGACTAGCGGCTGCAACACTGCACAGACATTTACTGAGGCTGTGTGTCAGCTGCCCCAAGGACTTAACCTTCATGTAGAGAATGTCCACTCCTTCAAAAATACAGGTAAAGTCATCTAATTTTCATAGGTGAACGCCAACCATATTGTCTATGAAGCTGGTATCAAGTGTAGGATATTTGGTTCCAAAAGCAATGCTGTGTCTGAGTGGCAGATAGGACTGGAATGTGCTTCCATTAGGATCTTAGGAAACTATAAGGATGAAGGCTTGGGAACATAAGGGCATGAGGTTTCCATAAGCAAGCTCCTCAAAGATGTCCTCTTGGTTGCCTCAGGTGCAAATTTCCAAACTGGATGTTTCACTGTGACTTCCCTGCCTCTGATTCTCTATTCTCCCGATCTCCCGAACCAGAAAATCCCTAGCCATCACCTGTCTCCACTGCATCCTCGGCCCGTTTCTTCCTTCCAGGAAACTTGTGGATCTTCCTGATGTTGTTTCTGCCACCTTCTTCTTTTTGTGTCACTTTCTCAGAGGAGCCTCTTCTCCTTCCGGTCTGACTCTTACCATCTTCTCACGACAGCTCTCTATTGTTGCGTCCACTGTAACATTCCGTTCTGCATGCTGTACTCTGCCTCTCACACTCGCGCTCGTATGCTCGTCCCCCGATAGGGTGTCGCTGAGGGAGTGTCCTGCTCCCCCTCCTCGTGCACTCCCTCCTGAGAAGCCCGCAGGTGGAACCAGGGCCTGGTGTGCAGACTGACCCAGCAAGGGAGAGCTGAGAAGTTTTCGTATCCAACACAGCAGAGTATGCACACTGCAGATCTTCTCATGAGAAATGCAAATGAATACGCACTTTGGGGACCGTCAAGTTGTCTGACCCCTCCACTGTCATTTCCCACTCCATCCCCCTCAACATTCAGTGATGATTGAAAGCTTTTTCTCGTGTTGCTCGGAGGGGATTTGGAGCTCGATGCTGAGGACTGATCTGTTCCCTTTCCCCAAGGGCAAACAAGCAGACCACTGAGATGTGACCTGATGTGAACCGAACGGAGGTGTGGCCATCTCAACCTGGCACAGCTGGGAAGAGCCTGGCTCTCCTACCCAAGTCCTTTGGGAGACTCTGTGCACTCGTGCTGCCCACTAGTGGTACTTCCAGGGCAGAGCAATGTGATTTCCAGAGTCGGACTGCTTAGATCTCAGTCTCTTCTCTATTAGCTCAGGCACATTTCTTAACTTCTCCATGCCACCATGTGCTTTAATTATTCACATTTTATTAACATGTAAACCTTAAGCAGACTCCAATAAAGAACTGTCAGTAAAAGTGCATCTTTTTAATGTTTTTTACACCTTAAAATAATTCTCTTGCTGACTGCAGACATGAAGGCTATTTGGAAGTATTCAGAAAAATCGTAGTAAAGACCATTTTCCCACTTAGTTTGTAGTCTTCAATAATGAATAGGAGTTACTGTTATCAAACAAGTAAGACTGCATTTATGCATCCATCATTTTCAGGATTGTTGGTAACCTGGGCATATTTCCCCCAAATAACCTTGCCTCCTTGCGTCACAAGGCCCAGCTCGCTCACATTCACCTCAATGACAGTACCTTTAGTAATTACACCAAGAGTTGTGTATAATGGGGATGATGGATTCTTTTTTACACCAAGTATTGGCAGACAGAAGGTGGCTTTCAGTTCTGGATGTGTTACATGGGCCTTCTTAAAACGTAAGCCCATTGGTCTAATGAATCTTTCATATTTAGGTGGTTTTCTTGTAAAGCCATCTCCAACAAAGCAGACTTTGGTAACCATCCTCTTCCATGCCTTCTTTTTTCTTTTTCCTGTCCGAATAACTTTTAATACTTCTGTTTCTCCCTGGGCACGAACTTTAGGCAGAGGGACTTCCCATTTTCCCGCCTTCTCTTTTCATTTTTGTTTAATCATGTTGGAAAGTACTTTAGCTCGGGACTGTCCTTCTCTGTCTAGCAGATAGGCAGGCACTGCTCCCTTGGGAGTCTTTTCATCATTCTTTTGTTTGGTGTTTCTCTTCTCATGCATCTTGATAGTCTTTTTCATCTGTATTTTCTCAGCATGGCGCTGCTTATGGTAGAGCTTGGCCTTCAGACCAATCATCTTTTTTGCTTTCTTTGAACGTTCATGAGCCTCCCGACTTTCCTTTTTTCTCTTTTTCTCATGGTAATCCAAACGGCACCCATAGCGTTTACGGCGTAATTCAATATATTCATTTTGTGGCATGGTGACGGCCTTAGAACCGCCAGGTGCAGCCTCCTGGGTGCGAAGAAGTTCCCGACTTTCCGCCACCATGTGATTATATATGAAAAGGGACAGTAAAAATCCCTCCCTTACTAGATTACTCTGCAAAGTACAGCAAGATAACCTAGGCTTAGTCCAGTGACTTGACACATCGTGACGGCTCCATCGTTACTTGCTGCTGCTGTCAGTATCCTTGCCCTTTGGGACGGGCTCCTGATAGCCTGTTTTCTTTGATTTGACAGCTAATTCACACTTGCGTTGTGGACACAACAGTTATGTTCCCTCATCGGCTAGGTCTGCCTCACAAAAGATCCCTTGGGAGTCTAGTGGCTGACTACCTGCAGAGAATCATTCAGGATGATGGTAAGGACCTCTTTGCCTGTCATTGCTATCGGGATCTTCAGTCTGACTTGAGCGAACAAACCGTGGCACCCCCAGTGAAGGGCTTCTGCCTGATGTGCTTAGAATGGGAGATAAGGTTCTTCTCTGGATTGTCTCCTCTGGGGGAGAATCTGAAAGTGTACGCTATGTCCATGTAAAAAGCGTCATAGGTGCACTGCTTGCTGTAGTTCTGGGTGTGCTACGTGAATGAAAGTGGCAGTTACACAGAGAACATGGTCAGGTCGGAGTTTGAACCTGGCTTTTGAATTCATGCATAGAACTTGCATTGGTATGGAGACCTATCTCTTTGGTTTGTGCTAAAGTTGGTTGGGTCCAAGTTATCTCTCCCAGTGTAAGTAATATGAGTGTGTATGTGTTTGCTTTGGTATTGGAAATATATCACAAATCAAAGAATGAAGTATGCGTTTGCCTTCTGCCAGATTGGTGTATGTTGCTCTCAGAACTTTTTTTCTGCTTTTGGTTTTTCTGATACAATACACCAAGATTATACAAATTAGACAATTACAGCAAGTAGAGCCACTGTTACCTGTTAGTGGTGTTGCCACATACATGATTGATTGGTACCTGGCTTGGAATGGAGGATAGCTGTTCATGGATGCATACCTTTACAGGCTTTTCCTATGAACAAGTAGTAGAGCAAATTGATTTTAAGCATGTTACAATTATGTTATAATTTGTAAAATATCTGATTATATCAATGGAACAAAATGCAGTTTATTCTCTGCATTAATACCATTTTGTAAAGGGTCTTTAATATCTCTGCTAAAAATATTCATATCTCAAAGAATTTGCACAAAAGCATATTAGACAAAACTTAGGTGTTCTGTTAAATAATCTTGAACCATGGGACTAAAGTATTTCATTTAATGGACAATCTATTAAAAAAAACTTGTAAAAGTTAAATAACAGTTTTCTGGGAGTAAGATACAAATGAGGAAATGAAAAATTTATACCACTTTAGAATCATTGGTCATGGTTTTTCCCTCATCTAGTCTCAGACATCACTTATGATTCTCTCCAGAACTAGACTTGATGTTTGGGGTAATTTCATCTATTTGTTAAAACGATGTAACCGTATGTCTAAGCCTACTCATTCGCTGGTGTGCTTTTTCTTTCCTTCCACCTTTCTGATTCCTAACCAGATCTCTGTGCTTTAGTGCTTGATGCCTGCTTCTTTGTTGTATCTCCCTGGAATAAAGGTAATCACGTCCAGTCGCCACAAGGCTGTGACAGGACTCATTATGCAGAAAAAATGGAGATGCTTGCTCTTCTGGTAGATTTATGCAAAATAATGACCACTGGGGGTCACTATCAGGTGATAATTGTATTCTGGTAGGCAGGCTGTGCTAATTTTGTTACTAATTGAGGCCTTTGTTTTGAAAACATGTGCAGGTAACGTCACAGAAAGTTGTCTTGCGCCTAATGTGTTTTTTAATTTTCTGTACTATTTGAAGGTCACAATACTAGTGAAAAAGCAAAAGCTTGCATGGAGTTGGTCCTTTGGAAAGTGAAAGAAGACCTGAAAGGAAAGAAGATTCACCCTGCCCTAGAACATCTTTAGTCTCTGCCATGCCTCCTCAGTGATGCCGCTGGCCCCTACTGCTGGCAGTAGGGTGTGGTCTGTAATGAGCCGGGTTTCTCGACACTTCCAAAGAGAAGAGGAGGAAGAAAGTACTGTTGTGGTTTATTTATTACATTTTAAACGTTAGCTTCTCATAGTGATTTCCAAAGTTGGAACTGGGGTGAGGGTGGGAGGGGCGTTCTGAGGAATGAAGTGTTTCGATTTCAGCTTATCTTCCTAGTGTTCCGCTTCAGATTGTGAATGCGAGTGGGAAATGGCTTCGACCTGAAGTACGAAGTCTATGACTTTGATAAAGGCCACTCCTCACAGTACCTACACTTCTTTGTGTCCCTTGAAAGCCAAAACCATCATGTTGCTCCAAGTTCTAAATACCTTTACCTAAAAGTTGTGGTTTTCTTTAGGCCTCCTATACACACATAGAAATAGACTTTTTCTCCCTCAAGAGTTTATATTTAAGTAAATGTAAAATTTCCAGTGTACTCTGTTGATATAAAGTTTTGATTATTTGGCTGTTGTGTAATGTGTTTTTATTCTCACTGATGGGTTGTTACTTGATTTTAATACATTCAACAACTCACTGATTTTTTTAAAAGGCAATTTATATATGGATTTTCTAAATATGCTAACTTCTATATTCCCAATGCCTGAATTATCTAATCTCTTTAAGGGTTTAGGTCTTTTTTTCTTTGATTTTATGTTTTGTTTTGGATGTTGGACGGTGGCAACCACATGACTTTATCAACTCTTCTGAGGAAAAGTCCATGAATCTTCAGTATCAATAGCACTAACATACTACAGAATTACAAAGGTTTCTTGGTAAGTGGTGTAGATGAGCCTCTGGGTAGTCCATAAGACAGCCTGCTGGCAAATGTAAATTAGTTGCCTTCTAACAGTTGATTGTGATGCTATGCCCCAAATTGTATATACACACACCCCTACCTCAAGTTTACAGCCTTGGTGTTTTCAATTTACAACTCAATCTCGGTTACCGCGGAGAAGCTTTTTCCTGCCACCACAGGTGCTTCTTAGCCATCTCTCCTGGCATGTTCTGGGTATGAATTGTATAATCAGGAAGGACCAGCTATTTTTGCCCTCCAGAAACTTTTTATTTAAGGAATACAAACTTGATACATTTCATAATTACAGCTTTAGGAACATGGTGATTCTTCCCACTGTACTGGCCCTCCCGCCCACTTTCCCACCCTTCTTCCACCTCCCTCTCCTATTCCCATTCTTATTTTTTTACTGAGATCTATTTTCAATTAACTTCATACACATATGATTAACTGTTAAGAGTTCAACAAATAGTATGGAAAAAAATCTTTCTCAGTAGTTGAGACAAGGACTATTCAAAGTCACTGCTTTTCAAAATGTCAATTTCCTTTCTATGGATTACCTTTTAGGTGCTCTATTAGTTATCACAGGTCAGGGAAAATATGGTATTTATGCTTTTGGGACTAGCTTATTTCAATAAGTATGAAATTTTTCAGTTTCTTCCATTTTGTTGCAAATGAAAAAAAAATTTTTTAATATTGCTGTATAGTATTCCATGATGCACATAGCTCATAATTTCTTTATTCAGTCTTTGGTTAATAGCCATTTGGGTTGATTCCTTGTCTTAGCTATTGTGAATTGAGCTACAATAAATATAGGGGTGCAGATAACTCTTTCATATGCTAATTGCATTTCCCTTGGGTAAATTCCCAGGAATGTGATGGCTGGGTAAGTGTATATTCAGATTTTTGAGATAACTCCATACTGCCTTCTATAATGGCTTTACAGACACATTCCCATCAACAGTGGATTAGGGTACCCTTTTCCCCACATCCTTGGCAGCATTTGTTGTTTCTTGATATCTGTATGAAAGGCATTTGAACAGGGGTGTTTTGTTTTGTTTTGTTTTTGTTGTTGTTGAATTTCTTGAACTCTTAAAGACTCTGTTAACCATTTATCAGTTGCATAGCTTGCAAATATATTATTGCATTCTGTAGATTGCCTCTTCACTTTGCTGAGTGTTTCCTCTGCAGTGCAGAGCTTCTCAGCTTGATGTAATCCTGCTAGTCAATTTTGACTTGGATTGTCTGTGCTTCTAGGGTCTTTTCCAAGAAGTCTTTGCCTATGTCAATGTCTTGAAGAGTTTCTCTAGTGTTCTTAGTAATTTGATGATATTGGATCATAGATTTAGGTCTCTGTTCTATTAGTGGATTTTTATGTAAGGTATAAGGTAAGAGGTCTTGTTTCATTCTTCTTCTTCTTCTTCCTCTTCTTCCTCTTCTTCCTCTTCTTCTTCTTCACAGGCAGAGAGGACAGTGAAAGAGAGAGAAAGAGAGAAAGGGCTTCCTTTGCTGTTGGTTCACCCTCCAATGGCCACCACAGCAGGCGCACCGCGCTGATCCGATGGCTGGAGCCAGGTACTTCTCCTGGTCTCCCATGGGGTGCAGGGTCCAAGCACTTGGGCCATCCTCCACTGCACTCCCTGGCCACAGCAGAGAGCTGGCCTGGAAGAGGGGCAACCGGGACAGAATCCGGCACCCCGACCGGGACTAGAATCCGGTGTGCTGGCGCCGCTAGGTGGAGGATTAGCCTATTCTGGTTATTAATCCTTTTTCACTTGCATAGTTTGCAAATAATTTCTCCCATTCTGTCGATTGCCTCTTCACTTTCCTGTTTTGCTGTATAGAAGCGTCTCAGTTTGAAGTAATCCCATTTATTAATTTTGGCTTTGACTGCCTTTGCTTCTGGGTTTTTTTCCAAGAAGTCTTTGCCTGTGCCAATGTCTTGCAGGGTTTCCTCAATGTTCTCTAGTAATTTGATGGTGTTGCATCGTAGATTTAGATCTTTATCGATGTTGAGTGGATTTTTGTGTAAGGTGTAAGGTAGGGGTCTTGCTTCATACTTGCACATGTGGACATCCCATTTTCCATCACAATTTGTTGAAGAGACTGTCCTTGTTCCAGGGATTGGTTTTAAATACTTGGTCAAATATAAGTTGGTTTTTGTTGGGAGGCCCTTTATTACTAATCTAATTTCCATCTTGGTTATGGTTCTGTTTAGGTTTTCTGTGTCTTCATGGCTCAATTTAGGAAGATTCTATGTGTCCAGGAATCTATCCATTTCTTCTAAGTTTTCCAGTTTGTTGGCATACAACTCTTTGTGGTAGTTTCTAATGATTTTTTTTTTTTGTGGTGTTACCACATTCCCTTTTTCACATCTAATTTTATTGATTTGGGTCTTCTCTCTCCATTTTTTGGTTAGTTGGGCCAATGGTGTGTCAATTTTGTTTATTTTTTCAAAAAAAAACTCTTCATTTTTCTGGTATCTTTTTTTTGTTTCAATTTTGTTAATTTCTTTAATTTTAAATATTTCTTTTGGTCTACTGGTTTTGGGTTTGGCTTCCTGTTGCTTTTCTAGATCCTTGAGATGCATTGATAGCTCATTCATTTGGTGACTTTCCAATTTCTTGATGTAGGCACCAATTGCTATAAACTTCTCTCAACACTATTTTTGCTGTGTCCCACAAATTTTGGTATGCTCTATTGTCATCTTCATTTGATTCCAGAAATTTTTTTGATTTCTCCCCCTAGTGCGGACCTGAGCAATCTCTGGACTCCTGGGCCACTCTGGGCAAACTTTTTGTGACTCTGCCGTCTGCTTGTATCCCCTCTAGTCATTAACTATCCATTTTTCCCTACACAACGCACAACATCCCGCTGCTATACTGGCATCTTGCCTTCCAACAATGTTTTTTAGTTTTCTAACTTCCTCTTGTTTTTGGTCTGACTATATAATTTCCTTCTCAGATACTCTTCCTTCTGTTTCACTGATTCTGTTAAGGCTTTCCACTGCATTTTTTTATTTGTACTATTGAATTCTTCATTTTGTTTTCTCTCTAAGATTTCAATTTCTTGGGAGAACTTTTCTTGCATGTTGTGTACAGATTTCAGTAGTTCATGCATTTGCTTCTGATTACTTCTATGAATCTTAAGGTCAACATTTTTCATTTCATTTCTGGCATTTCTTCCATCTCATCATTTCGCAATCTAGTAATGAAGTATTGTGTTCTTTTGGGGGCATCATGTTGTCTTCCTTATTTTTGTTTCTTGAATTAGTGCATTTTTTATTCAGCATTTGTGGAGATACTTGTTGGTTTTTTTCACTGTGGAGTCTTTTTATCTTTGTACTATGCCTCTGTAGATTAGTGGAATATCTGCTTTAAGTGAATATCTAGAGGCATGTAGTGGGTGTGGCCAGTGAGCTCTGTTCAGTTCTCCTGGGTAAAGGGCATGTCTAAGGTCACACTCAGATTTGGTGTGGTAAATCTTTTTTAATCAGAGGGGGAGGTTTATTCTACTCAGCTGAGCTCCTCTCCTCAAAGGAGACCAGTGCCTGAGCATTAGCTCCAGTGGGTATATTAGTCTGCTCTTCCCCAAGGACCACACAGAGGATCTCTGAACTCCTCAGTGTAAGCTCAGGTTCTACAGCCACTATCCTCCCCAGGTAACCAAGGAACCCTGAGTGTATCGAGTCTCCCACAGTAACTGCCCGCAGTCCAAGCCACACCATGAGCCCTCCCACACAGCCTCAGTTTGTTCACAGTTCTGGAATAGAAGTCTCCCACAGTCACAAGCACCCATCCCCCTGTTAGTTCTCCCCACCAGAGTCAAGAATCTCTACCTAGCTGGTTGCTGGGCACACACATGAGCTGGCGCAGCTGTTATGTATGTCCACAATGGTGCCCACTCTACATCAGCTTGTTATAGGATGCTGTTGCAGGGTGATTGGGCAGATAGAAATGTACCCTTCCTTTTTTACTCTCCTCTAGTTTAGTAGCTACACTTCCCTCACGGGGATCCAAGCCAGGTTCCTTCTAGGCTCTTCCTGCAGCTTTATCACCAGTGGCTTGGGCTGCTGCAGTCTGGTCACACCTTGGTCTCCAATTCTGGTGTGGAAGCTCTCAGCTGCTGGGGTCCTGAGCTGTGCGTGTCCACACTCCAAAAAGGTCCACTGTGCCCCTCTAATTTGCATAGGGAATCCTCTGCCATTTTATCCCTAACCATTCCCTGAGACTGAACTCCCTCTACCTTTTTAAAACTATCTTCTCCTAGACCAGAGCAGCAAGCTCCCTCCCTACTCTGCCATCTTGGAAGCCTTGGCATATAGCTCTTTGTAGTAACTGCTGATGATTCTTTTGATTTCTCTGGTGTCTGTTAAATTTCCTTTTTCATCTCTAATTTATTTGGGTCTTCTACCTCTTTTTTTTTTTTTTTTTGGTTACTTGGTCCAGTGGTGTATCAATTTTGTTTATTTTTTTTTCAAAAAACCAGCTCTTAGTTTTGCTGATCCTTTGTATATTTTTGTTTAAATTCTGTTTATTCTCTAATTTTTTTCCTCCTACTAATTTGAGGTTTGGTTGGTTGCTGTTTTCTAGATACTTGAGATGCATTGATAGCTCATTTATTTGGTGCTTTTCCAATTTCTTGATGTAAGCACCAGTTGCTATAAACTTCCC